TGTAGTTTGAGTTACTGTGATGTACAAATCAAATACGTCTAGATTTGATCATATTTGTTTTCATGTGTCGATTATTTAAGACAAGTTAAATAAAACAGCGCTTAAGTAAACTCCAAAGGTGGTTCGGAACACGATTTCCTTAAATCAAGTACACCCATGTTCACACATCGTACTTGGGTCGAGTATTTTTCCTAAATCTCGAGTACAAATCAGTGTAACAACTGTATCGCTATGTCTCGTGCCCCAACAAATCCTTAAAGATAGCCTTTCGATTTCGGAGATTAATTAAGAAACCATCAATTGGTCTGACTTCAGTACAGGTAGTTGGCGAAACGTGTTTGCTTATCAGTGATATCCACAGGTTACAAACACTCCAGGTACACCGAGTGGCTAAAAATACCCGGAGTTACAAACACATGCTGTAATCTTTCATACCCCGCAAAGTAAATTTATCTTTGACCTTGACATACAGGCCCAATGACCTCAGAAATCACAGATGCTATAAAGCGAAGTGTGTAACATGCTGTCATTTTGTTCAATCTGTACGATTCCAGTTTCTCCGTTCAAAGTAACTTGAGCAAAAGAATCAATGCATAGACATGAACAAAAGTGATTTAAGATCAGATGGTGGACTAAAAATATCATTTATGTTCAAATCAACCTTCGTACGTGGATCGTGATCCGTCTGTCTGCCTTTAAACAGTTCTTATCACTACTTATTGAAAAGTACTGATTGGATAAAGTTCAAATTCCATATGGCAGTTTGTCCCCTTGTCCCTATAGTTGTCTCATTCATAAAATGACACGGAAAACAAAATTGCCGACTGGCGATCATGATTTTGATAATAACAGTTCGTTTAGCTTTTTCTTGGGAAGGACTGGATGGATCATTCTCAAATCTTATATGTAGGTTCCTTCTACGTGTTGATTTGGCATTGTTTAATCTTAGGACTTATTTTTATCTTTGAGTTTGACAGTAACTGCTTGTTATCGTCATTTCTGGAGAAATGTGAAGACCATTCTCAAATTCTATGGGTAGATTTGCTTTGGTCCCTAGTTTTACACAGTCCATTTTGAGACTTATTGAAAAACAGGACAATCGACATGCGGCCAACTTGTTTTTGACGGTCATAATTTGTTTTCATTGACTTTTCTCAAATTCCATTTGTTCCGTTTTGATTTTGGAATTGATCACAAACTGACAATAAAAGTTTGTTATCGCTATTTCGTGAGAAGTACTAGATGGGTCTTCCTCTTATTTCGTACGTAGGTTTATCTTGGTCTTCGTCTATTTTCCTTTCATTTTTGTATTTAATCAGGAAAAAAACCTAGCTGACAAGTTGCAGTCATGGATTTTGACTGTGAAAGGTTGGAATTGCTTCTTGTTGGATTTTCACTATGAAAGATTAAAATTTAAAAATAAAAATAAAAAACGCCAAGATGCCTCTGGGATCTCTGGTTGATTTATCCGTTGCCTGATAAATCGGCTCATATTGAGCCAACTTGTGTGAATTATGGATGCAGTGTCATATTGATGGATTTCTATAGAATATAGCATTCAAGAGGACTGCTCTTGGTATTCAACAGAATGTGAATACCCAGCCGTCCCAACCTATGGCGCGTTTTCCTTTGAAGCTCCGTGTGACCAAATCATACCGGAAGCAAAATCTTAAACCAAGGCTTACAATCGCTGTTCAACAAGCACTTGTAAACAGATAATTCAGGTGCTGAGAGTAGCATATGTACTATATACGGCACCACCTTGTGAAGCACTGTTTTTAAACATAACAAAAAAAAAAAAAAAAAAAGAATCGTATCCAACAGCCCGTACATTTCTAGTGACATATTGATTCTAGCCTGCTATGCAGTGATGATAGATCTACACAGGAATGTTACGGTTCAAACATCTTTCAAGGAAGAAAATGGGCTCTAAAGCCTGTCTTCTATTTATTTTTCTGTATTTAGGCTCTGGTATTATGTACGGGTGTTTTCTAGGAGATTATCTGAGGAACTTGCCACCTTAGATTCAACACAGCATGTTAGACAATGTCCTTTGTAGTTAAAAAATGGTTTAGTCAGGAATTAGTCGATAAAAGTTAAAAAGAAACCGATATCTTTATACATATTGAGGATAATCTATGTGCACATGTATATCATATGCGTTTTTGCCGCAACAAAATTGTTGTAGATATTGAAAAGCCAGGAGAAAACTGTGATCCATTTATACAGATTTCAAATAATATTCAGACCTATCTATTTCCACTTAATATAGATATATGATATCGTGTTTTGGCCTGCTCTTATTTCTTTGGACAGCATGCGACGGGCTTACAGTATTGTGTTCGGTAAGAAAGTCGTCAGTTATTGTGGAGACCCTGGCCGAAAAAAATAAGCAAACATACAAAGATTCTTTGGACAATAAATATAATTCTTTTATGTTGTATATCTCCAAACAACTCATTTCTCACTCAAAATATCCATTGTCTGGTTTTGAGATCAAAAGAAAATCGAAATAATCAAAGGGAATATATATCAAAATATAAATGTCGGCTTAAAAAACCACAATGTGCAAACTCGGTAGCACAAGAATAATTCACAGCGGTTATATCGATAGGATAAGCTTGACTGCCGGTGAGAGTCGATGATGGGACTCCCGTGGAGCATCATAAATTCTGTTTACAATGTTAATAATTGCATTTGGAATTATACAATCAGACACAGATATATATATTATGGTGGCTGATTCCGGATATCGTTGTGTTGTGAGTTTTTCGGACTTCGACTGAAAATGAAAGAATAGTTATTTTGTTGATAGTGACTTAAAATACGTCGTATTCGGATGATTGGCAAGTATTGCATTTATTATAATTAAAAAAAAACACACAGGAAACTACTGAAAAGCTGTTAGGAAAAATTAGACTAACTACTATATCTACAAGAGTTATTTCCCTTCGTTTCACTACGTCACAAGCTTTATATATTGAGGGCTTTGAATATGTCTGGGACTTTGAAAGTGCTAGCCCATAATAGTAATGGGTGACAATCGAGGAAAATATAAAGGACCTGTAGACTACAGTATTGTAAGATCAGTTAAAATATGAAGAAGTCAGACACACGTTATTAGCGATGAACTGTTAGTAACAGTGTGAAGTCATGACGGTATAATAGGGCGGAAACAATAAAGGTAAGACATATAATCTTAATTCATACTCGATTAATCTCTTACAAAACAAGGACAATAAGAATAAGACGTCTTCTGCTTCATCGACGACACCCGCTATGTAAATCTTGGTCTATTCAAATAAGTAATGTTTCGTTCCGGAAATAGAACAAGGTATACACCAATTAGGATGCCCGTACAATTTCCCTATCACCCTGCATTTCTCGAAAGGGATTAATCTGTCAACATAGATGTCACTTTGAATACCAGGATATTTACAGTTCATTTCGATTCCCAAACGCCTTTATTTGGATAGTACTTGTGTTAAAATCATATTGATTTTTTTCAAAACTTATTTATTCATTTTTTTGTAGTTTCGTGTGATGAGGAATGATTAAATTTGTACTCCAAGAAAAATGGAGATAATAAAAGATATATTAGTCTCAAGTATTTTTTTTTTACAAAAATATACTGTATGATTATTAGATATACATGTAATGATTTTCTTTGATCTACGACATCAACAGTTTATGACCAGTGGTTATTCTCAACAACCCACCCCACGTAGTCTAAAGTAAAATATCTATCGATGCATGTGAACACGCGACTGGTTTCTTCAAAAGACATGTATATTTTATTTTTATGTGTATTTATTGCCAAAGTAACATCACCTGTACATAAATCCTATACTTTTGGTAATTTTATTGTGAGATAATAAGTCGTTTATAAGTAATGACCTATGTATTGTAATTGTGTCTCAGCTGTAGATATAACTGTATGTACGCTTGTACTACCCGGTATACAGTACGCCGTACTTCAAAGACACATAAAGTAGATCTATTTCTTTCAAGCTTTCGGTTTGGCTGCGGAAATCTTCAGGCCAAAGAGAAAATGTGTTTGTTTCCCGCTACATGCACGTTTGAATTAAGCAATCCAAAGGTGGTACAAGTACATATATTTATGTAGTCCAGCGACAAAGTCTGAAAAGTCGGTATCCAGGTAAACAAACACCTCCCCACCCTCTCATTCTCTGCCCCTCTCGATTGTCAAGCTACTGACAGCATGAAACAAAGAGGAACACAGGTAGATCTGAATAAGATTTCAAGATTTCAAGTAAATGTTTTGTTTGTGCACCCGCGTTTTTTACGTCCACCGTTTCTGTCAATATAATTACCTTGCATTATAAACTGACGTCTAAGAGACAAAGTGTCAGCCAAGAACTTATGTAATTATTACGGCGGGGGTCTCACGCGATTACATGGTACGTGGACGTTGTGTAGCTTTAGATATGATAATCTTTGAGTCATATCGTCTCGAGGAATATTGAATTTAACTACTTTACATACACAATACTATCTGCTAATTAAGTGAAACTAAACTTTGTGTCCATTTATTTCTGTCATCCTTTCAGGGAAACCTTTAAATTCCTCAATACAATCGAGATAACCAAAATTTACCCGATATTTTTTTTACTTTTACTTTCCATTTAACCTCTAGTATATGAAGAACTAGTATTTAGACATACATACATGTATTATGACATAAAGTTAGCCAATGTTACATCAATTGTTGATATTTCCTCCGCTTCTGGAGGGTTCCCTTTCAATTTGTACAACGCCTCAATTTTACTTCCCATGTTCATCAAATTGCCTGTCGTGCGAAAACCGCTTTGTCCGCATTTTATCATAAATTGAATAGACCTTATTGTTAGACAATACCGACGAAGAATTATTCCGGTATTATCGTTTCGTATTTTATAACTACAGTACTACAATGTACTTCCGGTAAGAGATCGTCTGTTACTTACATCGGACCAACCAGAAAAAAATCACAAATTTCTGATAGATATGTTAATGCCAAAGTTACGAAATTTTACCTATTGTCATATAGATAAACCACAACTTTGATGCACAGCAAACTACAGCTTGTCAAGGTTAATGTAAGTAATAATTCACGCCGTGTCGGATGCCTCACCAGCACATACACGTGTATACATGTACAGATATCAGCAATCTATAACCTGGAGCAGAAGGAAACCAGCTTAAATCTTAACCACCCTAACACACGAAGATTGTACATAGTTAAAACAATGCATGATAAATCTGCAGAAAAAATATATAATCTATTTTACTGACATAACGATATATAGCGGCTACCATTTTTACCATTTTGTTCAAACATGTACATGTAACAGGAACATGTAAAACTAGGATTCTTTTTGAAAAAAAAACGACTGACTCGAGGTTGTTTGCTTCAAATTTATTTTGGGCACGAAAAAATCCCTCAAAAGACAAAAACACGATTATACAATACGAGCACATAAAAATACCTTTACAATACGTTTTCAAACGCACTGCACAATTACTTCACAATACACAATGCGAACAACTGGACATCTGAAGTAAGAGATGATATATGTGTATGTTTAAAATATGAAAGACTGAACTTGTACAGCAATATTAATAATTTATGGGTAATAATCGTTAACAAATAATTCACAGCAACTTACCCTGCATGTGGTGCTGGGGATGTGTACTTGTATCTTGAATAGCTACAATAGATATAGTTGCGGTAATCGGTTCAAACTTCAAACGTCCAACCCTTTCGAAATCTGGTGCCCAAGTGAAAGGAAAGAAAAAAAATTGGAAAGGACAGTAAAATAGGCAGTGCGCATGTGTCCAGAGTGGTCAGTCCGGTCAACAAAAGAATACAACACATCACATGACACCACACCTGAGTACACACAATGCGAAATACATACAAACCAAAAGTGGCGGTCACATGATCTAGCGACACGAAGCGATATGTTAATAAACAATAATTACAACTTCCATGGACAGTATTAAACAAAGAAACGATTACTGTACAGAATTTACTTAGCATATTTATTAAATACAACTATGAAATATTTAATTACTTAATCAGTGTGCCACACATATGATTTTTATACTTCACCTGATAAGAAATTGCTTTAACTGTTTATAGGCAAATCATCATGGAGGGATACACTTCTGTAGGAGGATTGATGAAAAAACTATAAAAATTAGCCAGGCACTGACATTGAACGTCAGCCAGTGAATCAACAGATACACTATAACTGTTGCAAAATGAATATCCTAAAGACAATGTACCATGAGGTTTACACCCTCAGGAGCTGGTTTGATGATTATCCTGTTGAGTCCTTCTGTAACAAACTCTCAGAGGCTGAGGACTCGGACAGGTATATGATTATAATTAGCCAGAGTAATTGAAGATTTTAACATCATATGAAGCTTTCATAATGACATGATATGAATTGAGGTTAATGTTTGTTGTAATTATAATTTTCAAAAATACTGTAACATTTTGTCAAGTACTGGGTTCAACTAAAAACAATTTGTGCCATATCTCATATTTTTCCTACTGGTTGTTAATGCGAGTTAATTTACTGTGAACATTAAAGACCTCAAACTTTGTATTTGATTGATAGTATCTATAATGATGTAATAACAAAATGTAAGACAGATGACATTTTCTGATTTTGATGTTTTCCGATATTTAATCTATGATTTTATTTCAGTTTTATAAACTTCATTGACACAACTATAGTGGCAATACCGAATGGAGCCAAACGTCTTTCAGTTAAACCTTCCCTTTGTCAACACTCCCATCAAAGGGAGATAATCATGAGAGTCATAGAGGTAAAGTTTTTTTTCATTACATTTTTTTTTTTTGGGACATCCATAGGTAACAATATGTCTATATCTATTGCTGTTTATTAAAACTGAGTCATAATATTAGTGTAATTACCCAAACTCTGATAAAAAGAAAAATTCCATTTGATGTTAGTTTATTTATTTAGCTAGGCCAAGATCTGGATGTGTTTTCAGGACCTACTCCTTTGGTAAATAGGGCGAACTTTCAGCAATAAACATTTTGGTAAAAGTAATCTATGTTATTGATCCAAGATCGTGAGAATTTAATGCTGAAAGTGGTCATGACATGTTTGAGGATAGAATCTAGGTACAGTATCATTGGTAGGGGGATTGGAAACATATATTATAGTCTAGTATGTTAAGTTTATTTGATTTATATTTTAGTGATCAATTCAGATCATCAGAAGTAGTTGAAAGTCTGTAAATGTGCTTTGATTATAAGTATGTATCATATATGTCACTGCTTCTGTACATTCAGAGACTGATCAAGGAGATGAAGAGTGAGAATGTCCTTGCTCTAGGTTTTGGAGAGGTATGTACATAGTTCTCTCCCTTCATCATATTACTAGATTATATAAAAGCTGGTAAAAAATGGGACAAACACGATTGTTCCTGTGGGACAAGTATTTACCACACTTCCAGTAGTTCTGACATTACTAGTCATAGTGCTTGTTCTGTGGGACAGTATTTCAAACTCCTACATCCCATTTCACTGACATTTTGTATGTCTAAGTCATTATACAACATCCATGTCTGATATTACACTCACACCCTGTATCTGTATTTAATGGATACTATTTCATCCTCTTGCTGATGATTGAAAGGTTACACTATAACTCCTAACATGGACACTTTAGTTTTCAAGGTACTTCACTTTGTTTGTTACAGTCAGTTCACCTGTAATTTGGGGACGTGGTTTGTCTGTGTTGGAAATGTTTTGTACAAACATGGAATGCTAGCTCTGGGATTATTTCTTGTCGCAAAATATCCATATATATAAGCACTGACAGTAATTTGTAAACTGCTTTGAGACAGCTATGTAGCTGTGATAGAGCAATAGTAAAAACCTGAGATGAATCATTTACTATTTGTAAAAGTATGCAAATATAGAATGTATAAGCAGTAATATTGCTTTGACACAGGTATCGGATGATCCAAATGCATACATGTCAAATACCTGTAGAGTAGAGTGTCGCCATCCAAACAGTGCAGTTAACAGACTCCATTTCCCAGAGTGGAAGAAAGTTTTATCCAGGTAAGACTCCATACAAATTCAGCAGATATTGGATTGATGCATGTGAATTATCATTTAACAGTATGGTTTCTTAATTGATAACATCAGAAACTAAGTGTATTGTTTGTAGACATCGTATGCCATGTAAATTAAAACAATGAAAAAAAATCTGTAATAAGGCTCCAGGAATGAATTAGCGAAAAATGAATTATTCTTTTCAGGATTGGAGATATCATGATGGAGCACCTGTTGGAGAATACTGCCATTTTCACATTTATACCACCATCTAACTATATCCAATTAACAGGTAATGTGGTGATAACTCATTTATTATTAATGCAGAGAACTGTTTTTGTCTCAGCCATGGTTTTATGTTCGTGAGAATGTTCAATACAGCAGTCTTACCCTATATGTACAGTGAGGATGGGATTGCAGTGCTGGTCCATCATAAGGTAGCATACTTTAAGCTGTGGAGTCACTTCAAGGGATATATTATCAAACTTTATACAGACATTACAAAAATATATGTCAAATACAACATCCTACCCTCCTCCACCCCATTTCCTCTTTAAGGATTTCTGTTAAATTTTATGAGAAGGTCATGTGTGTGAATATCTGGGATAAGTTAATGTTTCAGTATTCAAAGTTCAAGGTTAAGGTCAAAATTCTCTTTATAGAAAATCATCAAATACGCTGTATTTATCAGAGTTAGGGCATTTATGTCTTGCAGACATTTTCTAGTTGATATAGAAAGCAATTTTGAGGTTGTAATTGTGATATATATCAATATATTAATCACATTCTTTCGATGTTTAATGAATGCCATGCCTCATGAACTTTGAATATTTTTCTTCTTCTTGTTGAAAGCCCCAGAACTGATTTCAGTGAAATTTTGCAGAAACCTTCTATGATATAAGGTGCACCAAACTTGTAAAGGATATTGTGCAACCAGCCAGGGCTCACATGGGCAAGGCCAAAACGGGTCAAATTGATTGAAACAGCAAAAATCTTTGGTAGACTCAAATACTCTTCATGGTAGAAAGGCCTTAAGATAGATTACCAAAATTGCGTAAATTCATGACTCCTGGGTCTCACATTTCATCCATGGGAAGGGGTAAAGTTTACTGCAGTTTATAAAGGAAAATGACATTTTTGAGCATAATTTGTGTATTTTCCATAGGAATTAGATCAAACTTGGTTGGAATTGTTTGTATAGGCTGACAATTTGATGTTATGCCTATACTGACCCTGAGGAATATGATTTCAAGTTTGCAAAAACTTAATTGACAAGCCAACAGGGCTTTGAAAGCTATAGAAGAGGTGAACTATTCAAGCCCATTGTGCCTAATGTAACAAAATAGGGTTTAGATATATTGTTACAAAATGTGGTTTCAATATTAGTGTATCTCAGATACATAAGTCAATAATCTTTGACTGACTGGTTGATTAATTTTATCAATACATAATATTGGGTAGACTGGATGGGAAGTATGAATGCACACCGATATTTCGTAACTGTATTTACAGTGGACAGCACTGATATCTTCTGATCCTATTAGTCTATTCTGTAACACAGCTGGATTTTCATGTTGGATTGTTTGAGATAAGTTAGCTTAAACAATAGTTTGTTAAATGTTCAATAGTATATCAATATAACACATATAGGTAGTTCACAGGGGTGTGGATAATTACTTGCATATATACACTTAGGTTGGTGTAGTCTGGGCCCCGAGAATCTTATCAGTGGGTGTACAGCTTTGGCCAGTTAATGAATTAGAGACTATCCCCACTTCCTTGATAATCAAACTTATGCAATTTCCTGTTTGAACAGGGGTCACATAGTAGTAGAGTAATTATTAGGGTCTATTTCAAGTAACAAATTAGCAGGGGGAATCTCAACCTTGCACCTTGAGTACAGGTGGCTATACTTCAACAATCGTATCATCTAGCAACAAGTGAAGTCCATATTAGGGGATGGCCGGACAAGCTTGGACAAAGTAAGATAAAAGGGGGGAGATATTTAGGTTAGAACACATGGCCTTGGGAGAGCCCACCAGATGGACAGTTCTGATATGAGACACAACATGAAATACTAGTATGAGCATATGAACTCTGAATGATGATGAGATGTTGCTTTTGTACATGTAACATTATTATTATTCTGCATGTAATAAACATGGCTATTACCAACAAGTACGTGTGTTTACGCCTACTGTGTTACACTCAATTATATAAGAGTCTTTATAGTCAGATATCCATTAAAGCTCATGGGCCTCTTATTTATTTTGTATTCCTAATGATAATTTAAGTACAATTTTGTGTTTCAGGTAAAGCCATTTTTGATCTGTGGAAACCTGGCCTTTCTGTCAAGTGTCCCGCAAAAGAATTATGTGAGAAAGATTCCAAGAGAGACCAGCAAGTTCCTTTATCAGAACATTTGAATGCTGCTGTCAGGTCTTCTCAAACATACTGCATTACAGAGGACTTGGAAGAGTTGAAATCTGAGGCAAAGGCATTTTCCAAGAATAAAGTCATTGCTTCAAGTACTGCAAAAGAGAGACGCAAGAAACATTGGGAGGAAAAGAAAAAGAAATGGAAATCTTATGCTTTGGGTCAAGGGCTTAAGAAAGATGATGACAGAAATTTAAAGGAGAAGATTGGTTTTGAAAGACAGAGAGATAATGATTTTGAAGTTAAATGTGGAAAACTGCAGGAGGGATTTGATGTGAACAAGCATTGTGAACAACTGCAGGAGGGATTTGATGTGAACAAGCAGTGTGAACAACTGCAGAAGGGATTTGATGTGAACAAGCAATGTGAACAACTGCAGGAGAGATTTGATATGAACACACAGTGTGAACAACTGCAGGAGGAATTTGATGTGAACAAGCAGTGTGAACAACTGCAGAAGGGATTTGATGTGAACAAGCAGTGTGAACAACTGCAGGAGGGATTTGATGTGAACAAGCATTGTGAACAACTGAAGTTTCCTGGTTCTAAAATCAGTAAAAGACAAAAAAGGAAACTTAAACAAAAAGAACAGAGGTCAAAAAGGAAAAAGGAAAAAAATGAAGTTGCGACAGAGGCAGATATCAATGACAGTTGTCATAGGGAACAAATATATCTTAATTATTTTGATGCCTCAGGCAGTCCTAGTTGCAAGAGGCAGAAGCTAGAGATTACAAATGAAGAATACGAACCTTCATGCAGTGTAGCAATTTCTCAGTCTTCAATTGGAAGAATGCCTCCATGGAAACCCCAACAGTTCAGTTCATCTAGACCTCAGCCTCCATTTGGTGTAATGACGAGTCGATCCCCATCAAAAACATTTCAACTGTCAGACATGTTAGAATTTCACCCATCAGAAACATCACAACAGTTTTTTCCAATTAGACCTCGACCTTCATTTGACACAATGACTCATTCGACACAACTGAACACTTCAAAACTATGCCAGCAAAGACATCGCGAAAGAAGTAAATTTTTTGAAAAAAAAAAAAAGATTTGGGGGATAAATATGCTTCTGTACAGGCATAATGTACAGATATCATGCTAAACCAAACACATGTTATTGATATCAATATAATAGGCTATGAAACTAATCTGCCCTTCTGTGTAATTCTTAATTCATAATGCCAAACCAAACACATGTTATTAATATGAATATAATAGACTTTGAAACTAACATATTTGTCATTCTGTGTAATTCTCAGTAATTCTCATTAGGAAATAGAGGATGTCTCTTTAGTTTTAATTGAACCGAGAATCTAGATTTGTGATATTCTCGCTCCGTATATTAATTTTGGACGAGGTCACAATGCAGGAGACAACATGAAGTTATTATGTCACAGTCAGAAAGATGGTCATTTTCAGTCACATCGGTGGACTGAAAACTTTAGTTATTTGATAATTCAATGTATGATTGCCTCTGTTGGAAAAGATTTCTAGTGTAGTGATTAAATCTTACCATATTGTCAGGACTTTTACCGAGATCAGAAAATAGCGATGATTAAGATTTTGGTAGGAAATTTTGATACACTGTATCAGTTTTAGTCCAGTACAATTAGAAGATAATATTGTATGTACTTTTTATTTTTCATATATCATAGCAAACAAAAGATTGTCAAAAAAAAACCAACGTAAACTACGGCTTCAGCATAGAAATGAAATGAGAGATAAGCAAAATAAGGAAGGTGGAACTCAGAGTATTTCTATGGAAGAGATTTCTCTTAGTGTTTGTGAATCTAATCCTGAAAACAACACATTACAGAAAGCTAGCAGGTAAGTACTTCCTAAACTTTTCTTGTGGTTTCAGATATTCCATTATGTTGATAAAAACCTACTTTTCTTAATCATCAAATATTTGTCCTTCACCTATACCATATACCTAATAAGAACATATGCTGAAATTTGGGTAGATTGTATTTTCATTGTCATAGAGAATACAAGGAAGTTTTCATGTCATTTAACATAAGTTGGCTGGTTTTGCTTGTTTCCAATAAGATGAAACTATAGGATGGACTGCAAGTTGATGCGTTGATGTATACATATTTAGATAAAATCCAAAATATCCCTTTTTGGGGATGTCATGGTGGTGTGATGGTTGGGCATTTTGTAATTTGTTGGCCTTGCTATTTGATGCTGTAGATCCTGAGTTCTGGACAGAGCATTAGTCAAAAAATGTCCTCCTTTATCACTTATGTTACAATATCCAATATAGATAGATAGACACTGAAACAATTATTTTCACTTCTGATATTGTAATGAATGTTTTCTCAGCAGGGATATTTTGTGTAATACACTAAATTATAGGATCAACAAAAATGTCATATACAGTTTATGCAATGTTAGCTTCAATTTTCGTAGCCATTTTTCATCTTGTTTTTAGCTTTCAAAACCAGTATTTTCCCAGGAAGAGTATATTGTGTTCTAGAGGACTTGTGGAGCAGATTCCAAAATCCTGTAATTATATTTTTCATTGTGCATGTATGATGTTTTTTGAGAACTTCAATGATTGTTAAGTGAATCATTTTTTTTTCATTTAAGGTTGAATTATTTTATCAAATGATTATGACATTTTCAAATGGTATTGTGATATATTATCTGCTGGAATGAATATGACTCTTCAGTCTTAAAGATACACACAGTGTAACATGTTACTGAAATCAGGTCACCAGTCCAACTATATATGTTAACAGTTATTGCCTTTTCAAGGAGGATGGCCATATAAGGAAGGTCATTGGGTGTAAGTCAGTCATGACTTGTCTTCAAAAAAGATGTGTTATAGTTGTCTATAAAACAGATGATTCAATCAAATTAATCAAATATCTGCAACAGTCGGTACTTAGAGAATTCAATGTGAATTCAGTAGAGTATTTTTATCATACATTTCAGATATATTGAACAGGCTGTCACGAGATGAACATGGTGCTAAAGAACTTTCTCAGGAGATATTTAAGGTAACTACACCTATGAAAGATGGTAGAAGGAAGAGATACGTCTGTTTGTTGGCGACAGCTTTTGAACAGTGGCCGAGAGGCAGCAATCTTGTTTTTGCCTAGTATAGTTTGTTATCACTATTTCTGGAGAAATACTGCATAGATCTTTCTCAGCTTTCATGTATAGGTACCCCTAGGTCCCTATTTGTGCCCGTCATATTTTGAGACTGATCAGAAAAAGAAAATGGCCGACAGATGGCCATCACAGATTTTGCCATGTAAAGTTTGTTATCGCTGTTTCTTAAGAAGTACCGAATGCATCTCTCAAATTTCAAACATAGGTTGCCCATGGTCCCTAGTTGTGCCTGTTTGATTTTGGGAGTGAACAGGAAAACGCGGCTACCAGACAACCATCTCTGATTTGGCAGTTAAAGATTATTATTTCGCAAAGGAACGTTATAATTTCTTATCATTAAGAGCAAAAAACAGAAAAGGAAAGAGAAAAGAAGTGAAAAGATCAAAATAATTGATAAAGATCAAATAATGGTTGGTTCCAGGATACCTCTGGGATCTCTTGTTCTTTAATATCAACTTTGGATAAAATGTTTTCATTTTAGAAATGTACCCTACTCTTAGGAACAATTTGCCCAGGTATTGTGACAATTCAGTATATCCACAGTGTGTGAATTTACTTGTAAGTATATGTTAGATTCTAAACTTAGGATAAGATTAAACTAGCATTAAACTTTCAGTCTGGTAGTTTTGCCTAATTGTTCAAATTCTTACTTTGGAATTATAGTATATTTCTGTTTTACAGCTTTGTTTGCTTATGACTACTCCCACGGGCTCTTTCTTTATTTCAGGGGCAACATTAGTGATTTTTTGTGTGTGGGAAAGTGGATAAGGATTAATTAGATAGGCTAAGTAGGCTTATGTAATTTCTAGTAACAGTTTGCGATACAATTTATGTATTTTTATGCATCGGATCGAAAGATTGTAGGCATATTATTTTTGTACTGTTTGTTTGTTTGTTTGTTGTCAACTTCAACCTTGCCCATAACTATTGCATGGTAAGTGATAGGGCTTTCATATTTGGCATATATTCCTTGTGACAAGACCTTTCTGTAGTACCAAACTTTTTTGACCATGTGACGTTGACTATGACCTTTGACCTACATTTGAAAAATTTTAACATTGCCCAGAACTATTGAACTAAAACTGTCAAATTGTTACCACAATGAAGACAGAAGTGTTTCACAAAATGTGCATGCAATTAGCACATGCCTTACACAGTTCAGTTTTAATGTCCCACTTCAGAATTGTGTTGGGAATAGTGTTTCATAAACACTTCTTGTTTGTTGTTGATATAAGTGAGATGGGTGTATTTCATCGAGTGTACTTACACAGAAATTTGTTATTAAACAATGTTAGTAATAGAATTGATCAGAATTTACTTGATGGAATATTTGTAGTCAACTCAAGAAAAATAATCAGCAAATTTAAAGACTTTTAATCATTTTCTGAATTTTGTACTATATGTTTACAGGATGTGAGTGGACTTACAGATTTATACCAGACCAGGGTACTACCTGCCCTGGAGAAGATGCTAAACTCACACAAGTAAGAGTAGGAGGTTTAAATTACTACACAACAAATGCAGTCTTTAGGTTTCCTAATTGATGCATACTGCCATTATATTGGGCCTGATAAACATATCTTCCACTCCTAAAGTAAACAGTAGGTAAATGTTTAATCAATTTCAGGAAACTTTCCTCTTTCAGTAGATTTACTAAATTTACCCCAAATTTTTAAACACATTATGTGTGTTCTTATCAGGTTGAAGACAATATTAAGAATGTCTTACTTTGTTGAATTCTGATCAGTTGAAATAAATGATCATTTGACAAAGTAATTAATTAGTCACACGTTAAGAAAACTTATTGAATGCCCTCTAATGACAAACACTGGAATGAATACAACTAATGATACACCAACAAATAACAATCTAAAATTTAGACTAAATGATCATCTACATGTTTGGAAATATTAAAATACTTCATCAGCATCAAGTTTGTGTTGACAGTTCAGAGGAGTGTGGTTATTAGGTTGTGTTGATCATAACCTTTAACAGAATGAGAAATGAGGGGAAGAAAGATGTTCTACACCATAAACAGAATGGGAAATCAGGGGAAGAAAGAGATGTTCTACACCATAAACAGAATGGGAAATCAGGGGAAGAAAGAGATGTTCTACACCATAAACAGAATGGGAAATCAGGGGAAGAAAGAGATGTTCTACACCATAAACAGAATGGGAAATCAGGGGAAGAAAGACATGTTCTACACCATAAACAGAATGGGAAATCAGGGGAAGAAAGAGATGTTCTACACCATAAACAGAATGGGAAATCAGGGGAAGAAAGAGATGTTCTACACCATAAACAGAATGGGAAATCAGGGGAAGAACTAGATGTTCTACATCATAAACAGAATGGGAAATCAGAATGGGAAATCAGGGGAAGAAAGAGATGTTCTACACCATAAACAGAATGGGAAATCAGGGGAAGAACTAGATGTTCTACACCATAAACAGAATGGGAAATCAGGGGAAGAACTAGATGTTCTACATCATAAACAGAATGGGAAATCAGGGGAAGAAAGAGATGTTCTACACCATAAACAGAATGGGAAATCAGGGGAAGAAAGAGATGTTCTACACCATAAACAGAATGGGAAATCAGGGAAGAAGAGATGTTCTACACCATAAACAGAATGGGAAATCAGGGGAAGAAAGAGATGTTCTACACCATAAACAGAATGGGAAATCAGAGATGTTCTACATCATAAACAGAAAGAAAGAGATGTTCTACACCATAAACAGAATGGGAAATCAGGGGAAGACAGTTCTACACCATAAACAGAATGGGAAATCAGGGGAAGAAAGAGATGTTCTACACCATAAACAGAATGGGAAATCAGGGGAAGAAATGTTCTACACCATAAACAGAATGGGAAATCAGGGGAAGAACTAGATGTTCTACACCATAAACAGAATGGGAAATCAGGGGAAGATAGAGATGTTCTACACCATAAACAGAATGGGAAATCAGGGGAAGAAAGGGATGTTCTACACTATAAACAGAATGGGAAATCAGGGGAAGAACTAGATGTTCTACACCATAAACAGAATGGGAAATAAGGGGAAGAAAGAGATGTTCTACACCATAAACAGAATGGGAAATCAGGGGAAGAAAGAGATGTTCTACACCATAAACAGAATGGGAAATCAGGGGAAGAAAGAGATGTTCTACACCATAAACAGAAGGGGAAATCAGGGGAAGAAAGAGATGTTCTACACCATAAACAGAATGGGAAATCAGGGGAAGAAAGAGATGTTCTACACCATAAACAGAATGGGAAATCAGGGGAAGAAAGAGATGTTCTACACCATAAACAGAATGGGAAATCAGGGGAAGAAAGAGATGTTCTACACCATAAACAGAATGGGAAATCAGGGGAAGAAAGAGATGTTCTACACCATAAACAGAATGGGAAATCAGGGGAAGAAAGAGATGTTCTACACCATAAACAGAATGGGAAATCAGGGGAAGAAAGAGATGTTCTACACCATAAACAGAATGGGAAATCAGGGGAAGAACTAGATGTTCTACACCATAAACAGAATGGGAAATCAGGGGAAGAAAGAGATGTTCTACACCATAAACAGAATGGGAAATCAGCGGAAGAAAGAGATGTTCTACACCATAAACAGAATGGGAAATCAGGGGAAGAAAGAGATGTTCTACATCATAAACAGAATGGGAAATCAGGGGAAGAACTAGATGTTCTACACCATAAACAGAATGGGAAATCAGGGGAAGAAAGAGATGTTCTACACCATAAACAGAATGGGAAATCAGGGGAAGAACTAGATGTTCTACACCATAAACAGAATGGGAAATCAGGGGAAGAACTAGATGTTCTACATCATAAACAGAATGGGAAATCAGGGGAAGATAGAGATGTTCTACACCATAAACAGAATGGGAAATCAGGGGAAGAAAGGGATGTTCTACACTATAAACAGAATGGGAAATCAGGGGAAGAACTAGATGTTCTACACCATAAACAGAATGGGAAATCAGCGGAAGAAAGAGATGTTCTACACCATAAACAGAATGGGAAATCAGGGGAAGAAAGAGATGTTCTACACCATAAACAGAATGGGAAATCAGGGGAAGAAAGAGATGTTCTACACCATAAACAGAATGGGAAATCAGGGGAAGAAAGAGATGTTCTACACCATAAACAGAATGGGAAATCAGGGGAAGAAAGAGATGTTCTACACCATAAACAGAATGGGAAATCAGCGGAAGAAAGAGATGTTCTACACCATAAACAGAATGGGAAATCAGGGGAAGAACTAGATGTTCTACATCATAAACAGAATAGGAAATCAGGAGGAGAAATATATATTCTTTACCAGAATGTAGCCCTTTAATGCTAGCACAATAAATATTTAAGGTGGCAAAGCACATGTATTAATATGAAGATGCCCTTTCAGATAATTTGTGTTTTGCCAGAGGGTGTATGAAAATGAGGTCTTTTAAATTAAGTGATTAAGGAATACATCAATAATGTGATACACATATTTTGTTTTCTAGGAAATGTTCCTACCATCAACTTTTAAACCAGTGTTTTAGTGGAGAGTACCAACAAAGTAGCACAGGAAGAAGGGAGATAATTGTAGCTAGGGAGAAGATAAGGAAATCAACTTATGGTATTGTTTTTGGAATAATTAAGGAAAATGAGAATATAAATAGTTTTTAAAAACTTTCAGTTAAATTAATAATCTTTGTTCTTCATATGATTATCTGAATGTTACAGTTGTGGGATTTCATAACATTACAGTTTGTGATGTGCACACTGCCTCTGAATGATGTGCTCTCAATGTATGAATGATATGTGCAGGATAGCAAAACAGGATGAAATTGGCTAGTTTCCCATTTAATTTTTAATTGGTAATATTAATCAACCATTTTGACCAAACTGCACAAAATTTGTAATCCCATTGCAAATCTGTGCACTTGATACTGTATTGTGTGTGCTTTCAGAAGATGTATCTACAGTATGCACACAAAATTTTGGTGCATTGTGGGATACCACAACTGCATATTCAGTTGTTTTTTTATAAGAAAATCTCTTATTTTCAAATAGAACAATTCATTATTCTTCATAAATATATCATTTTTGTTTTATTTTCCAACAAATGTTTCAACTAGAAATGATACCTCTGTTGAAGTCATGTTTCCGGGTTTAGAGGTCACCTCAGGGTTTAGAGGTCACTGTTACTAATCATAGAATTTTGTCAAATATTGATACTTATACATGAGAGGTTAGACATTCATCAAAGGTTTGTAGTCATTAGAATTACACTGATCTGTTTCTCATGAGTTTTTTTATTTATCACAGGTAACGTAGGTAACCAAGGTCATGTGAGGGTAAAACCAGGAACAAGATGGACAAAACGTTCACAAAAAGTGTCCACTAAAACTCTCCTGAGTCGGCACCTCCAGACATCGCAGGTACTATTTTGTATATCTCATACAAACTTCATATCACATTTTGTACTCATAAAATTGTATTACAGTACATATGAGCAATTATTTCAAATCATTTCTTCATCAAATTTAATTTAATTACTAACAATTTCAAGATCTGTTCATTTATGTTAACTTTAGAAAATGCTGACTTCCAAATTGATTAATTCCTGCTAGACTGTGTAATAAGTTAGTATGTGATAAAGATAACGTTGAGTTCTTGTTTTTCCATGTGGAGTATAGAAAACCAATATATAATAGTCTATGTTCAGTTACACTGACTAGGATTTACTGTTTTGTTTTACTTGATGTTCTCCAGATGTTCATGTTTCTGAGGGGTGTTCTTACCTGTGATATATCAAATGTTTTCCAGATATTCATGTTTCTGAGGCGGGTTCTTACCCGTGTAATACCAGATGAGCTCCTGGGAAAATCAAACAAGAATAAATTATGCAAGTGTATCCTTTGACAGCTAGATTATATATACCACAGTGATGTTGGTGTCACACCTATACAAATGTACCACAGTGATGTTGGTGTCACACTTATACAAATGTACCACAGTGATGTTGGTGTCACACTTATACAAATGTACCACAGTGATGTTGGTGTCACACTTATACAGATGTACCACAGTGATGTTGGTGTCACACTTATACAGATGTACCACAGTGATGTTGGTGTCACACTTATACAAATGTACCACAGTGATGTTGCTGTCACACTTATACAAATGTACCACAGTGATGTTGGTGTTACACTTATACAAATGTACCTCAGTGATGTTGGTGTCACACTTATACAAATGTACCACAGTGATGTTGGTGTCACACTTATACAAATGTACCACAGTGATGTTGGTGTCACACTTATACAAATGTACCACAGTGATGTTGGTGTCACACTTATACAAATGTACCACAGTGATGTTGGTGTCACACTTATACAAATGTACCACAGTGATGTTGGTGTCACACTCATACAAATGTACCACAGTCATGTTGCTGTCACACTTATACAAATGTACCACAATCATACTGCTATAAAACTGTATAATTTTGTTTACCCTAACTAATGCTATTAAGACATCAAGCCATTTCTAAATCTCCGTAAATATGACAAGTTTTCTCTGGCTGAGCTGAAAGTGGACCAGATGAAGGTGTGATTTTTCAGTAATGTTGATATCTTTATTAAGCACTTGCTGCAGTAGGAAGTTGAGGAGGGCTTATTATAATGTTTTGGTCATTTTTGGATACTCATGGCATACCACTTTTTTGTATGAATTCCTGCTATAGTCATGAATGCCAAAGCAGATTTTGACCAAATTTTTAGTATCAAGCATCACTGTGGAAAGTTGAACAAATTTTGTGTGAATGAGGGTTCCTGGCCCCAAGGGTTTGAGGGACTGGCTTAACTATCAAAAATCTTGAAAATCCTGCTCCCCCTGTAGGAATGTCTTAAATGCTTTGGTGAAGGAGAATCAAATTTGTATAAAAGGTGGGTTGTCTCAGCCCCCAGGAATGGGAGAAGCAGGGCCCAATGTGGGAAACAGAGCGAATTCTTTATAACCCAACTCCTGCAGGAATGACTTGATTGTGCTTAAATTTGGTCTTGAGCATTCTTTGGTGAAGAGAAATAAGTTTTGTATAAACAGTGAATCCCTGCCCTCTGGGGCCAGAAGGCCATGGCCTATAGGGGACATAGAGTAAATTATTTAACACCCTACTCCTCCTGTAGGAATGATTTGGTGTTGCCCAAATTAGGTTTCAACCATCATGGATAAAGGGAAATTGATTTTGTTGAAATGTTGGGTCTTGACCCTGTGGGGCACCGTTTTAAGGAGAAAAGTTGTCTTTCATTGTTTCTCTTAAAAATCCTTCCTAGTCATGAACAACATAGCAGAGTTTGACCACATTTGGTCTGAAACATTCATGGGTGAAGGTGAATCAGTTTTGTATAAATCCTGAATTTTTATAAATGGTAGCTATATGCCCTCTGAGGTAGGAAGTTGTGACCCACAAGGTAAAGGAGCAAATTATCTAAAATCTTACTCTTGTAGGATTTTTCTTATATTGCCTAAATTTGGTCTGAGGCATGTTTGGGTGAAGGAGAGCAATTTTGTATGAACAGTGGTATTGAGCCCCTTGGGCAGGAGAGGCATGTTTCAATAGTGGAAATAAAGAGAAGTCTTTAATATCAATCTTCTGTTGTATTTGTTCAGATTTAATCTGAGGAATCTTGGGTGTATAATTTTGTATAAACAGTGCATCTTACCCCCTTGAGGCAAGGGGACGGGGCATAATAGGAGAAATAGATACAATGTTTAAAAGGCTTTCCTTTCACTCTTAGTTTAAAGTAATCAATTTCAGCAAACTAAACCAGGTGAGCAAAACAGTACCTTTGGGCCTCTTCTTCTTTTGCTTTTTTATGCTGTACATGTTTACAAGTCCTGGCCTACCATATATAATCATGATTATTGTTAGGAAATATATATTAATATAAACTGGAAATTACGAAACATGTTTTCGAACATTGAGAAGATCATTGACATTTCTTTTATTTCTTACTAAAAATTGGATAGAATTAACAATAACATTTATCATCATGGTGTAATTTCAAACAAATATAAAACAAGAACAACTAGAGTCTATCGTCTGATATAGGAGCAACAAAATGTTTATTTTAGAAACTTTTAAGGTTTGGTTTTAATCTTTCTCCAGAATTTCATGCCGTACATATGATGTTGATATAATTTGCAGTTGGAAGATATTCCGTGGTTGGCTGCTGTTGCTTTACGAGCTGACCAGCTCCACCTTCTGTCACAAGTAATCTGCTGGATATTCAAGGACTATGTCATGGTGTTGTTAAGGGTATAATCTTTTATCTGTTAACCATAATACTGAGTCCCAAGAAATTTCCACAAAAAGTGACAATATAGACAAAATTTAGAAATCAGAATTGTGTAAGTTTTAGCTAACCTGGAGCGAAGAACTGATGCGCTGAAGCCATGACCTGTTGTCTTTTGTTTGTCAACCTATTACTAAAATGAGCTACTAGTTATGAATGATGGAACAGATTTTGACCAAATTTAGTCAAAAGTGTTATTTTGGGTAGGGGGAAACAAGTTTTTTTTTAAATATCTGTTCTTAGACGCCAGGCACCTGAGGGTCGAAGCCCAAAAGAAGAAATATAGCAAGTTCTTAAATGTCTTTCTCCTTCTGTAAGAAAGGTTTTATTTTGCCCAAATTTGGTCTGAAGCATCCTAGGGTGAAGAGAACTCAATTTTATATAAATACCTGGTCTTTGGAGCCTAGGGCAGGAGGGATGTTAGGAGAAATATCATGATTCTGTCCCAATTTGGTCTGAAGCATGCTTGGGTGAAAGTGAATGAATTTTGTATGTATGGTTGGTCTTGGCCACCTAGGGTCGGTGGGACAGAGCCCTTAGGAAATGAGCAAATTCTCTAAAATTCTTCACCTACAGGAATGTCTGTATGCTGTCAGATGAGAAGGGCAGAGTAGGGCAGGGCCTAAAAGGGATAAAGCAAATTATCTAAAATCCTTCTTTTGTAGAAATGTCTTGATTCTGTCCAAGTTTGGTCTGAGGCATGCTTAATTAATGAAGGGGATCAGTGTTGTATAAACAGTGGGTCTCAGCCCCCAGAGGCAGGAGAGGTAGGACCAAATTGGGGAACTAGAGAAAATTGAAAGGAACCTAATTTGTAGCAACCAGAAATCAGAGATGTTGGGCCCAATAGGGTAAATGTAAGTTCCTAAAAATCCTTCTTCCATGCAAGGATAGTGTCTAAGTTTGGTCTGAAGTAATTTTTATGAATGTTGAATCAGACTTATGTTTGATGACAAGGTCTGGACCCATAGTGTAATTATTTCAGAAATTGTTTTTCATGTTTGAAATTCCTTGTGTAAATGACTGAAGTTGGTAGTTGAATTAGCCAGATGAGTCATACAGGTGTCTTTGGCCTCTTGTTGAGTAGATAATGAAGAATCTGTAGTTGTTAGGGAAATCTGAGAGAGAAATGTTGGTAGAAAAGACACTTGCTCCTATGATATTGTTTGAGTAGGAATTGAGCTCCATGCAGTTAGCTATATACCTAAATAAGTCATGAGTCAGAGAAATCTCAATTGGACTGTAGTTAGTAAATCTCTCTTAAAACTTTAAGAATTGTTGATAAAAGCAATTCCATGTTATAACTGATTGCTAGTACAGAATAGAAGTTCTTATAACCAGTAGAAGATTAGAGTGTGACGTTTCTATGATTACGGGTCACCTTCATCTTATAACACAACTAGTTAAAGATTAGAGTGTGACATTTCTATGACTTCGGGTCACCTTCATCTTATAACACAACCAGTAGAAGATTAGAGTGTGACGTTTCTATGACTACAGGTCACCTTCATCTTATAACACATCCAGTAGAAGATTAGAGTGTGATGTTTCTATGACTACAGGTCACCTTCATCTTATAACACATCCAGTAAAAGATTAGAGTGTGACATTTCTATGACTACAGGTCACCTTCATCTTATAACACAACCAGTAGAAGATTAGAGTGTGATGTTACTATGACTACAGGTCACCTTCATCTTATAACACATCCAGTAGAAGATTAGAGTGTGATGTTTCTATGACTACAGGTCACCTTCAAGGAATCAACCAACTATAATAATTTATACCAATTACTTGAATATTAATCATTTAAGATCAGATCGTTGATTTAGCAGAGTAAAGCATTTTTAAGCCTGATAGTTTGTATTCAGAAATTACAAGAATGTATTCTTGAATTTCAGTCCTTCCTGTACATCACAGAGACAGCACATCATCGTAACCGATTGTTGTATTTCCGAAAGAGAGACTGGTTACGACTTCACATGCGGGGCCTGAACAGTACTGCATATTTGATTTAAGATATTAAACACTTTTTAATTAGAGCATCTGATGATGAATTTGAACATAAATTAAAAACCATCAATGTAAACTTTGCCATTAAAATTACTGTAAAATGTATTACATAAATCAATTCTCTCAAGTGTAATCATGTAAAACTGAGAAACCAACAAAGTGAAATATCACTAAATTTTTAGCCCACCATAAACAAATGCCCTTCATCTACCGTCTTTCATTATCAAACAGTTGTTGTTATCACTCTTGTTAACACTGTATCAATATTTCTTCAATTTTATAAGTAGGCTTGCCTTGATCTGTCCATTTGGGGATTGACTAGAAAATAAGATGGCTTACAGGTGGCCATGTTAGTTTTTGACAGACAGTTTGTTATTCCTATTTCTTGAGAAGGTTTGGAGCCCATTCTCTAGTTGTGCATGGTCCATTTTTAGACTGACCAGAAAAAACAAAATGGCCGATGGGTGGCCATCTTTGTTTTTTGCTGTGATAGTTCATTATTTTGTGATCGCTATTTCTAGAGCAGTGTTTGATCGATTATTTTCAAATTTCGATTGAAGATTTGCCTGTCCCTATCTGTGCATTGTCCATTAAACTGATTAAATACACAAGTTTGCTGACAGGTGGCCATCTTGGTTTTTGATGGTCTTAGATTGTAATTACCTTTACCTGAGAGGAACTTGGAGGAATTTTCAAATTTCATGTACTTCATTAAGAGCATAAACATAAGAGTATTTAATAATTAAAGAGTAGAAAATTAGATAAAAGTCCATCTTTAAAAGAGCAAATAGAGTTAAATAAATGGTGGATGGCAAGATCCCTCTGGGATATCTTGTGTATTTTAGTAACAGACTACTAATTAAGTGCAGCCTTGATTCCATGTTTCACTTTAATTTCTTAGTCTGACAGATCAGTTATATTCAGACATGTACATTCATTTTAAGTTCTGATATTGCTTATTATACCATTACTTTTGCAATAACAATAAGTTAATAATGTATTGAAAGCAAAATGTGTCATTACAGCATTACTGAATAAGAAGATGATTGAGCCTATCACACAGGTAAGCATGTATGATTGATACTGGGACAGAACTTGACTGATGCAGGAATGAACATATAACTGGAATAATTACATCTGTTGGCATTTCAGCTTATCAGTAGATGTAAGAGATGTTTTTACTTGACAGATAGGGTGAAGAAGAGTTATACTCAGCATCAGCATTTTTTGTCTTTTTTTTTCTAGTGCACATTCAGACTTACCTACCTTAGCTTTAATTATTTTGGCTCCTGATTTGGATATTGCCTATTTGTGAGTTAATTTTTTTTGAAAACAATCAGCACTAAACTAATGGTAAATGAAAAAAATACCTTAACCCTTCTGCTTGAGGCTAAGATATTCCCTGTCTAAATGTAACTAGAAAGGTACCCTAACCCTCCAACACCAGACTAAGATATTCCCTGTCCAAATGTAACTAGAAAGGTACCCTAACCCTCCAACACCAGACTAAGATATTCCCTGTCTAAATGTAACTAGAATGTTACTCTAACCCTCCAACACCAGACTAAGATATTCCCTGTCTAAATGTAACTAGAAAGGTACCCTAACCCTCCAACACCAGACTAAGATATTCCCTGTCCAAATGTAACTAGAAAGGTACCCTAACCCTCCAACACCAGACTAAGATATTCCCTGTCCAAATGTAACTAGAAAGGTACCCTAACCCTCCAACACCAGACTAAGATATTCCCTGTCCAAATGTAACTAGAAAGGTACCCTAACCCTCCAACACCAGACTAAGATATTCCCTGTCCAAATGTAACTAGAAAGGTACCCTAACCCTCCAACACCAGACTAAGATATTCCCTGTCCAAATGTAACTAGAAAGGTACCCTAACCCTCCAACACCAGACTAAGATATTCCCTGTCTAAATGTAACTAGAATGTTACCCTAACCCTCCAACACCAGACTAAGATATTCCCTGTCTAAATGTAACTAGAAAGGTACCCTAACCCTTTAACACCAGACTAAGATATTCCCTGTCTAAATGTAACTAGAAAGGTACCCTAACCCTTTAACACCAGACTAAGATATTCCCTGTCTAAATGTAACTAGAAAGGTACCCTAACCCTTTAACACCAGACTAAGATATTCCCTGTCTAAATGTAACTAGAAAGGTACCCTAACCCTTTAACACCAGACTAAGATATTCCCTGTCTAAATGTAACTAGAAAGGTACCCTAACCCTCCAACACCAGACTAAGATATTCCCTGTCTAAATGTAACTAGAAAGGTACCCTAACCCTTTAACACCAGACTAAGATATTCTATGTTCAGTGTTTTATTGTATGACAAAAAGGTCTTGATTACATTATCATGATACAGTAAAACAATATTATTTTAGACTATTGCTCATTATTCTTTTGAAACATATTTTTAGCTCCTTTAGTTTCTTGTTTCTTTAATTTTGTTAGAACAAACACAATAATTAATTGATGATATTGGGGTACCAGGTATGTAAGTTATTACTACCCTGAAAATTGATAAGTTTTCTAGAGATATTTTTATCTCTTCATTATGTCTGCTACTTAAGCCTCACCTGTAAATCAGATGTGATATTTTTAATGAGATATAATCTGTGATGACATCACTGAAAGAACTGTCATTAAAAAGGCGCACTAAACAAGTGTTTTGTAACATAACCAGACTGAAGCTCAAAAGCAGTTGGCTGAGGGCAGTGCACTTGGGGTGGCCAGCTTACGTTTCCTTCCGAAGATGAAATCACTTCGACCTCTTGTGAACCTAGGGAGGAAACCCCCACCAGGATGTAAACAGGTTGGTTCTGTATATGTAAAGAATTATACCCTTAAATGTTAATAATGTGGTGTTTGAGGTGAGGTTCCTTCAACAAATTATTGTGCTGTATGTTTTAACTTCATTAAAAATCACATATATAAATAATATGAACAATACATTATCAAGACAATAAAACTAAATTTCATTTCATTATAGATAAAGTTTAAGCTCTACTAAATTCAAAGCCAGAGTAAATTGATGAACTCATAATTTTTTGGGATTTTCTTTTTCCAGTTTTTTCGTGATTTATATTTGTCAAGTATGCCAACATAAAGTGGTTCTTACAAAGTATGTACCTTTTGTCAACAAAACTGTAAATAACAGGTCTCCCCTTATGATTTATGTTGAGTAGCCTGGATATTACTATCTCAGACTTGAGATTTTTGTTGAGTAGCCTGGATGTTACTATCTCAGACTTCAGCTCTGCTGTTATTTTGGCTCCTGTAGCTTTGTCCTAGAGCAGAACAGATAATATGATAGAAGACATCCTCCAGAATGTGTGGGAAGGGTTATAACACAGGAGGTTAGATTTTAAATTTGAGATTATTTCTATAGCATGAAACCGCTAAAGATATTTATGGTATGATAGTAAAATCCAATTCATCTGCTGTAATACAGAATACTAGTACAGCTGGATGAAAGCATCATTGACAGCCAGTTTGAGGGGGAACTTCTGGGACTGTTCCTGGATGAAAGCATCATTGACAGCCAGTTTGAGGGGGAACTTCTGGGACTGTTCCTGGATGAAAGCATCATTGACAGCCAATTTGGGGGGGAACTTCTGGGACTGTTCCTGGATGAAAGCATCATTGACAGCCAATTTGGGGGGGAACTTCTGGGACTGTTCCTGGATGAAAGCATCATTGACAGCCAATTTGGGGGGGAACTTTTGGGACTGTTCCTGGATGAAAGCATCATTGACAGCCAATTTGGGGGGGAACTTTTGGGACTGTTCCTGGATGAAAGCATCATTGACAGCCAATTTGGGGGGGAACTTCTGGGACTGTTCCTGGATGAAAGCATCATTGACAGCCAATTTGGGGGGGAACTTCTGGGACTGTTCCTGGATGAAAGCATCATTGACAGCCAATTTGGGGGGGAACTTCTGGGACTGTTCCTGGATGAAAGCATCATTGACAGCCAGTTTGGGGGGGAACTTCTGGGACTGTTCCTGGATGAAAGCATCATTGACAGCCAATTTGGGGGGGAACTTCTGGGACTGTTCCTGGATGAAAGCATCATTGACAGCCAATTTGGGGGGGGAACTTCTGGGACTGTTCCTGGATGAAAGCATCATTGACAGCCAATTTGGGGGGGAACTTCTGGGACTGTTCCTGGATGAAAGCATCATTGACAGCCAGTTTGAGGGGGAACTTTTGGGACTGTCTCTGAATCATTGCATTCACTCTAATGAAACCCTCAAAAGATTTAGGTCATATTCAAAACATAACATCAAACTAGAACAGTGCTACATCTTGATTAGGACTTTGATGGCCATCAGTCAAGGTTAAAGGGTTACACTTGATGTCTTTTGGAATAAAAAAGCCACTTTGAACAGGATATCTTATATAACCTCTCAGCAGGTTTAGTTTAGATTCAGGTCATAGTATCACATTAGTAAAATTCTATACCTGATCTCCTTTTGGTGGACATTGTTCAAAGATAAATAGCCAAAGGACACACTAGCTTGACTTGTTTAATTTACTAAAAGAGGAATTTTGTTTCATATTTGACAGAAAATACCCATGAACAGGCAGATGCTGCATATGTTGAACATCCTGAATTATTACAAGGTAAGACTGAAGGTATAAAGCCTCCCTTCAAATAATTTGGGATTTTTTTATAATCACTGTGGACTTTTGATGAGTTATTTTGAAAGACAAGTCTCAGGTACTCGACAATTTAAGTGAAGAGATTTGATTTTTCTGTTATGTTACTTGACCATTGTTTCCTACAGATGTAATTGTAGTTCAGATTCTAACACTTTGCCTCATACAATGATGCTTGTTAAATCCTGTCTGCATTTTACAGGACAAGAATCCTGATTTGGTGGGATCTGCCATATTTGGACTGGACAAAGTCTACCCGATGTGGAAGCAGTTTGCCTTACAGTATCGACAGCAAGGACACAGAAGGTCAATTTCATAATAATACTTTGTAAACAATAGACAGAATTTATATCAATTACGTTATTTTTCTAACAGAAAAACATTAAATGCTACTGTAGATCACTTATATTTATATTTTGTGTTTGATTTATTTTCGTGTTAATATGTGAGGAAAGTCAATTGCATGTCTAAATCCTCCGTGATTATTTGTACAAAGACTTGATGACATCCATACTGATTCAGTTACTGATATCAGAGTCCATATATATGATAGCCCATCATTCGTGAATTTAGTCATTTCTAGGTCACAATTTGCTAATTATGTTTTCGCAAATATGTCTGAATTGGTTAGTTCATGAAATGACTGAGTGATTTACAGTATTTCATTGTCCAGTGATAAGACCACTTGGGTAATCCCTTCTTTGAATTTTAAGTTATGTCTGTATCAGTTTGAAAGTTTACCAACAGCTGTATTGTTTGAAGAAGTGAATCAAGGTTTTTGTTTGAATACAAACTTATTTTTAAGGGTTATTGTTGATTTACATCCTATTAACAGCCAGGTTTGGGTGGTGAAGGAAAACTGGAGTTCCCATAGCATAAACAACAGCCAGCGCCAGTACCTGGCGACTGCCCTATGTAGGTCTTGAACCTGCAACCCAAAGATTGCAAAGCTAGTGATAGAGACCGTTTGACTCCTTAACAACTTGGTCAATTCAGATCAGGGTCAGGGTGATAGATAGTTATTGTATTGTGCGTCTTAGTTATGCTGTGCCCCATTTGCACGGCAATTTTTCTCTCTCTTTTTTTTTTTTAAACTTCTACCAAGAGGATCATCCTGACATAGTGTTGTTTTTCTTGGAGTTTGTCAATATATTATATGACACAATGGATACTACCTTAAACAACATTTTTTTAAGTTCCACTGGTGCCATTAAGCATAGACCTTGTAGACATTTTGAAAAACTCAGTCAAGAATTCACAGTGTTCTTGTTATTTGTCACATTTACTGCTAAAATTCAACACTGTTTCAATTATCCTTGACTAATGATTGTTCACATTACCACTACTGCTTACCCAAAAGCAATTAAAAAAAATGACACTTTATGTTCACTTTCTGGATATCACCTCAATGGTTACTGTTGTATTGGTCTTCAGCTTTCTCTGTTGATATCAAAACCAGTTACATGATATGTATACTTTTCACCTAGCCATCCGGGGTTCGATTCCCAGAACAGATGTAACAAGTCACATGCCCTACCATGTGAGATGCTCTGGTTTCCTCCCACAGTAAGACCCCTCATACTCTTACATCTGGGCCAACAAGAGTGATTAGTATAAGTTGAAGTAACTTGTTCCGCAGTTGTTATAAAATGAAATAAATTTTATATCTTTATATGTATGTGTGAAAACATTAGCTAGAATACAAGACCAAGCTTGTGATTTCAGCTTTGCTGGTAAGCATTGTGTGACAGCACATTGTGACTTGTTTTTCCCTTGTCACAATGCCCTGAGCTTCTAGTGTTAATGAATGCCTTTCTGTAGCTACCATTTTTCTTTCAATCAGGGACCTATTATTTTACTTCAAATTATCTGAGTTTTTCGTGTTTTCTGACTGTTTATTTACTAAGATAAAGTGAGCATTTTGCCTTGACAAATAAAGTTTTTTTTTTAGGTCTGGAATTGCTCCACTTTATTTTGTCAAAGTGGACATTGCTACCTGCTTTGAAGACATCAATCCGGAGAAACTGTTTTCCATCCTCAAGGACATATTTCTGAAGGTATTTTTTGGCAAAAGTTTCTCAAATAATTAGCTAGAAATTCATTTGAATTTTGAAAGGAGGAAAAAGGATTGATGTACGGTTACAACATTATAATAGATTTGATTGAGAGAGCTGTATTTAATGTTCACCTGTGTTAATCAGGTTCCACCTGTTACGTGTATCATGTACAGGTTTGTTCAGGTGTAATATACCACTGACTGGTGGCTGCAAGGACTCCTGTCCGCAGGTCAGCAGATGTGACAATTTTATATGTGACAATTTGCATAAAGGCAGAAGCTGGCGAACACCAGTTGTCATGGGGAAGTGCTAATTAGGGTAGCAATTGGCACATCCTCATGGCATGGAGTGATGGTTTCACTCTACATTTGTATTAGTCCTAACACCGCTTAAAAAAAACTACACGTGTCCATGTAAGACATGCAGTACTCTCAGTTCTTCTCCTCATACAATGCCTATATGTTGGTTTCTGTCGTCAGATCAATGCTGGAATCCAGTCCCAATGTTTTTTGTTATATCAAATCTCTCTGTCATTTAGCCCTATAAATTCACGGAAAGTCATTAGAATGTTAGATAGCTACACAGTGAAACACTTTGACAAGATGCCATGTAATACATATTTCCACAAGCATGATATTACAAAAAACGGATAAATGCGAGGATATGTGTTACAGTTTCAAAGTGCCTTGAAGTCTTAGATTTTGAAAGGTAATGAAAATCTGTACAAACCATATATGGAGACTGCTAAGAAATGCAGGTGATAGTATGTCAGGTCCTGAATTGTTTGGTGATAAGATATGTGGTTGGGACCATGAACAAGACACCTGGCAGTTTTTGCTAAATGTTCAATATGCTTTCTTGGTTGTTTACCAAGAGTAAATTGAATACAGTGTGGTGACAGGCATGGCCGGGTTCAATTTTGTATATACAGAGGACTTTTTCACACAAACAGACTGATTGAACATTGAACTTCCTACATGTAGTTCTTACTTAATTAGACATATTACTTGGTGTACAGATAAGTTTTACATTTTAGGATGAAGAGGACTATCATATTAACAAGTACGTGACTATGTTTGTTGCTGGTGGACAAGTAAAAAGAACCTTCAGAAGAAAAGCATTACCATTGTCGGAATTCAATCCCTTGTTCACAAACTTTGTGAAGGAAACTGTGGAACGTGAAAACCTCAAAAACAATATATTTGTTGACCAGGTACATTGTTGTGTTAATCATAAACATCATATTGGTTGACCAGGTACATTGTTGTGTTAATCATAAACATCATATTGGTTGACCAGGTACATTGTTGTGTTAATCATAAACATCATATTGGTTGACCTAGTACATTGTTGTGTTTTTTCACGAACATCAAACATGAGTTTCATTAAATCTGATTTGAAATGAAAACAAATTTAAGATACCTTTTATTACATAACTCAGAAAATTACATTTTTATAAAATCTAGATTAAATGGAAGCATAAATCATTTTGTTGCACCATTTTAAAATCTTATAATGACATCAACATTGAATCCTGACAGGCCCAGCCAATGAGAAATGACCCGGGGTATCTTACACTAGTGACAAAAATATTTCATATGCAGGTGCACCAGATTATGGGCAAATAATGTGATAAAATGGAATCTTTCACACCTTGCAGATGATATACTGGGATTTCATGTCAAAAGAGAATTGTCAGAAATTTAGGTTTGCTCAGTGTTATTGACACAAAAATCTTTTTCCTAGGTTGCAGATGTCTCCTGTCTCATCCACATGTTGATGAATGATTTTTATAAGCTAGTCAAAAAATTATGGTATTCCATTGCCCTTTTGCCGTTCTATCTGTCTCTTCATTGCAGACTTTTGTCTGACTTGTTTTAAACGATTTCCCCTTCAAACATGGTAGGCCTAATGACAATGACATGAAGTTATGATACCTTGCATAAAAAAACAATTTTATCACCCTTTATTTTTCAACATCTTAATTTTGCTTTTGATACAAGTTTAGAATAAGATACAGTAAAGCCAAATAAAGACTTAAGACTTGTCAGTGATGCTGACGGGCAAGGTTTTTAACTTGTCAGTGATGCTGACGGCCAAGGTTTTTAACTTGTCGGTGATGCTGACGGCCAAGGTTTTTAACTTGTCAGTGATGCTGACGGGCAAGGTTTTTAACTTGTCAGTGATGCTGACGGCCAAGGTTTTTAACTTGTCAGTGATGCTGAGGGCCAAGGTTTTTAACTTGTCAGTGATGCTGACGGCGAAGATTTTCAACTTGTAAGTGATGCTGAGGGCCAAGGTTTTTAACTTGTCGGTGATGCTGAGGGCCAAGGTTTTTAACTTGTCGGCGATGCTGACGGCCAAGGTTTTTAGCTTGTCAGTGATGCTGACGGCCAAGGTTTTTAACTTCTCGGTGATGCTGTGGGCCAAGGTTTTTAACTTGTCAGTGATGCTGACGGCCAAGGTTTTGAACTTCTCGGTGATGCTGTGGGCCAAGGTTTTTAACTTGTCGGTGATGCTGAGGGCCAAGGTTTTAAACTTGTCAGTGATGCTGACGGCCAAGGTTTATAACTTGTCAGTGATGCTGAGGGCCAAGGTTTTTAAATTGTCGGTGATGCTGAGGGCCAAGGTTTTTAACTTGTCGGTGATGCTGAGGGCCAAGGTTTTTAACTTGTTGGTGATGCTGAGGGCCAAGGTTTTTAACTTGTCGGTGATGCTGAGGGCCAAGGTTTTTAACTTGTCGGTGATGCTGAGGGCCAAGGTTTTTAACTTGTCGGTGATGCTGATGGCCAAGGTTTTTAACTTGTTGGTGATGCTGACAGCGAAGGTTTTTAACTTGTCGGTGATGCTGACGGCGAAGGTTTTAAACTTGTCGGTGATGCTGAGGGCGAAGGTTTTTAACTTGTCAGTGATCCTGAGGGCCAAGGTTTTTAACTTGTCAGTGATGCTGAGGGCCAAGGTTTTTAACTTGTCAGTGATGCTGACGGCCAAGGTTTTTAACTAGTCAGTGATGCTGACGGCCAAGGTTTTTAACTTGTCAGTGATGCTGACGGCCAAGGTTTATAACTTGTCGGTGATGCTGACGGCCAAGGTTTATAACTTGTCAGTGATGCTGAGGGCCAAGGTTTTTAACTTGTCAGTGATGCTGAGGGCCAAGGTTTTTAACTTGTCAGTGATGCTGACGGCCAAGGTTTTTAACTAGCGGTGATGCTGAGGGCCAAGGTTTTTAACTAGTCAGTGATGCTGATGGCCAAGGTTTTTAACTTGTCAGTGATGCTGAGGGCCAAGGTTTTTAACTTGTCAGTGATGCTGAGGGCCAAGGTTTTTAACTTGTCAGTGATGCTGAGGGCCAAGGTTTTTAACTTGTTGGTGATGCTGACGGCCAAGGTTTTTAACTAGCGGTGATGCTGAGGGCCAAGGTTTTTAACTAGTGAGTGATGCTGAGGGCCAAGGTTTTTAACTTGTCGGTGATGCTGACGGCCTAGGTTTTTAACTTGTCAGTGATGCTGAGGACCAAGGTTTTTAACTTGTCAGTGATGCTGACGGCCAAGGTTTTTAACTTGTTGGTGATGCTGACGGCCTAGGTTTTTAACTTGTCAGTGATGCTGATGGCCAAGGTTTTTAACTAGTCAGTGATGCTGACGGCCAAGGTTTTTAACTTGTCAGTGATGCTGACGGCCAAGGTTTATAACTTGTCGGTGATGCTGACGGCCAAGGTTTATAACTTGTCAGTGATGCTGAGGGCCAAGGTTTTTAACTTGTCAGTGATGCTGAGGGCCAAGGTTTTTAACTTGTCAGTGATGCTGACGGCCAAGGTTTTTAACTAGCGGTGATGCTGAGGGCCAAGGTTTTTAACTAGTCAGTGATGCTGACGGCCAAGGTTTTTAACTTGTCAGTGATGCTGAGGGCCAAGGTTTTTAACTTGTCAGTGATGCTGAGGGCCAAGGTTTTTAACTTGTCAGTGATGCTGAGGGCCAAGGTTTTTAACTTGTCGGTGATGCTGACGGCCAAGGTTTTTAACTAGCGGTGATGCTGAGGGCCAAGGTTTTTAACTAGTGAGTGATGCTGAGGGCCAAGGTTTTTAACTTGTCGGTGATGCTGACGGCCTAGGTTTTTAACTTGTCAGTGATGCTGAGGACCAAGGTTTTTAACTTGTCAGTGATGCTGACGGCCAAGGTTTTTAACTTGTTGGTGATGCTGACGGCCTAGGTTTTTAACTTGTCAGTGATGCTGATGGCCAAGGTTTTTAACTTGTCAGTGATGCTGACGGCCAAGGTTTTTAACTTGTCAGTGATGCTGAGGGCCAAGGTTTTTAACTTGTCAGTGATGCTGAGGGCCAAGGTTTTTAACTTGTCGGTGATGCTGAGGGCCAATGTTTTTAACTTGTCGGTGATGCTGATGGCCAATGTTTTTAACTTGTCGGTGATGCTGATGGCCAAGGTTTTTAACTTGTCGGTGATGCTGACGGCCAAGGTTTTTAACTTGTCGGTGATGCTGACGGCCTAGGTTTTTAACTTGTCAGTGATGCTGATGGCCAAGGTTTTTAACTTGTCGGTGATGCTGACGGCCAAGGTTTTTAACTTGTCGGTGATGCTGAGGGCCAAGGTTTTTAACTTGTCAGTGATGCTGAGGGCCAAGGTTTTTAACTTGTCAGTGATGCTGACGGCCAAGGTTTTTAACTTGTCAGTGATGCTGAGGGCCAAGGTTTTTAACTTGTCAGTGATGCTGAGGGCCAAGGTTTTTAACTTGTCAGTGATGCTGTGGCCAATGTTTTTAACTTGTCGGTGATGCTGAGGGCCAATGTTTTTAACTTGTCGGTGATGCTGATGGCCAAGGTTTTTAACTTGTCGGTGATGCTGAGGGCCAAGGTTTTTAACTTGTCAGTGATGCTGACAGCTAAGGTTTTTAACTTGTCAGTGATGCTGAGGGCCAAGGTTTTTAACTTGTCAGTGATGCTGACGGCCAAGGTTTATAACTTGTCAGTGATGCTGAGGGCCAAGGTTTATAACTTGTCAGTGATGTTGAGGGCCAAGGTTTTTAACTTGTCAGTGATGCTGAGGGCCAAGGTTTTCAACTTGTCAGTGATAATGACGGCCAAAATTTAAAAACCTTTTAAGGTGACTTGGAACTTACCGAACAATTGTGCTTTTTAACTTTTGTTGTTCCTTGTTTCAGGTGGTGTCTCAGTCTGAGAACTCTCAACACTTATTAAAGCAGCTGAAGTCTCATTTGTTCAACAATCTTATAAAGGTACTATTTTCTAACTGAATTAATCTCCTCAACACTATATTGTAGGGGCATAACATGTTCATTTTACTGGTTCAGTATTGTTAGTGTTATGTACCTCCCATTGGTAATACTGTGTGTTTTACAGTCACTGAATGTTTGTGAATTCATCATTTTTACATTCTGGTATTTTTAGCACCTTATATCCATGATCTGTGTTCCGTCTGTCCACAAACATTTCTTTTTATCGCTATTTCTAGAGGATTGGATTGACCTTCCTTGAATTTCATCTGGTTCCTAGTTGTGTCAGATTGATTTTGCGACTGATCAGGCAAATGAAATGGCTGAGAGAAGGCCAGCTTGGATTTTGACAATGAAAGTGATGTTATTGCTATTTCTTGAGAAGTAGTTAATGGATCTTTCTCAAATTTTATAATGTAATTTCTCCTTCATCCATAATTATGCCCTTTTGATTTTGGGACTGATCAGAAAAATAAAATGGTGGACAGGTGACCATCTTTGATTTGGGCAGTTAAAGATTAATACATGAATCTCTATTTCTAAAAATAAATGTAATTAAGAGCAGATGAAAGAGGCGAAAAGATGTCGAAAGATCAATTTTTTAAATTAGCAGATAGACATCAAATGATTAGGGATGCCAAGATCCCTCTGATCTGTGATAGACTCTGTTTTAGTAATTGGTTGTTAAGAGATTAAGTATTATTCAAATTAGCCAAGGTAAGAACTTCTTTGTCATGCCAAAAAGACATGTGTATAATGTGATAATGTGGGACCATACACCCTGCCTAAGTCATGTGTATATTGTGGGACCATACACCCTGCCTAAGTCATGTGTATATTGTGGGACCATACACCCTGCCTAAGTCATGTGTATAATGTGGGACCATACACCCTGCCTAAGTCATGTGTATAATGTGGGACCATACACCTTGCCTAAGACATGTTTATAACAAAAGGACCATACACCCTGCCTAAGACATGTGTATAATGTGGGACCATTCACCCTGCCTAAGACATGTGTATAATGTGGGACCATACACCTTGTCTAAGACATGTGTATAATGTGGGACCATACACCCTGCCTAAGACCTGTGTATAATGTGGGACCATTCACCCTGCCTAAGCCATGTGTATAATGTGGGACCTTTCACCCTGCCTAAGACATGTGTATGATGTGGGACCATTCACCCTGCCTAAGACGTGTATAATGTGGGACCATACACCCTGCCTAAGTCATGTGTATATTGTGGGACCATACACCCTGCCTAAGACCTGTGTATAATGTGGGACCATTCACCCTGCCTAAGCCATGTGTATAATGTGGGACCATACACCCTGCCTAAGACATGTGTATAATGTGGGACCATACACCCTGCCAAAGACATGTGTATAATGTGGGACCATACACCTTGCCTAAGACATGTTTATAACAAAAGGACCATACACCCTGCCTAAGACATGTGTATAATGTGGGACCATTCACCCTGCCTAAGACATGTGTATAATGTGGGACCATACACCCTGTCTAAGACATGTGTATAATGTGGGACCATACACCCTGCCTAAGACTTGTGTATAATGTGGGACCATTCACCCTGCCTAAGACATGTGTATGATGTGGGACCATTCACCGTGCCTAAGACGTGTATAATGTGGGACCATACACCCTGCCTAAGACATGTGTCTAAATCGGGACCATACACCCTGTCTAAGACATGTGTATAATGTGGGACCATACACCCTGTCTAAGACATGTGTATAATGTGGGACAGTATACCCTGTCTAAGATCTGTGTACCAGGTGGGACAGTATACCCTGTCTAAGATCTGTGTACCAGGTGGGACAGTATACCCTGTCTAAGATCTGTGTACCAGGTGGGACAGTATACCCTGTCTTAAGATCTATGTATCAGATTAGAATAATGTTTGTGTTTTTATACATAGGTTGGAAAGAAATATTATCGCCAGGCGTCAGGAATCAGTCAGGGTTCCATCCTATCCACAATGCTTTGTAACCTGTATTATGGTCACTTTGAAAAGAAGTTGTTTTCCTTGCTGGAGGGAGAGGAGCTTAGGATGAGGATTGTAGATGACTCACTATTTGTGACGCCACACAAGGACAGGGCAATTTATTTCCTTAATCTTATGTTTAAAGGTCAGTAGTCTCTATCTACAACTCCTGTAATACCTGTAATTTCCTGTAATACCGGTAATTTCCTGTAATACCTGTAATTACCTACAATACCTGTAATTTCTTGTTATACCTGTAATTTCCTGTAATACCAGTAATTTCCTGTAATACCTGTAATTTCCTGTAATACCTGTAATTTCCTGTAATACCTGTAATTTCCTGTAATACCTGTAATTTCCTGTAATACCTGTAATTTCCTATAATACCTGTCATTTCGTGTAATACCTGTAATTTCCTGTAATACCTGTAATTTACTGTAATACCTATAATTTCCTGTACATACCTGTAAATTCCTGGAATTTACTGTAATCCCTGTAATATCCTGTAATATCTGTAATTTCCTGTAATATCGGTAATTTCCTGTTATACCTGTAATTTCCTGTAATACCGGTAATTTCCTGTAATACCGGTAATTTCCTGTAATACCCGTAATTTCCTGTAAAACCTGTAATTTCCTGTAATACCTATGATACCAGTAATTTACCGCTGTAATTACCTGTTATACCTGAAATTTCTTGTAATACCTGTAATTACCTATAGTACCTGTTATTTCCTGTAATACCTGTAATTTCTTGTAATACCCGTAATTTCCTGTAATACCCGTAATTTCCTGTAAAACCTGTAAGTTCCTGTAATACCAGTAATTTCCTGCTGTAATTATCTGTAATTTCTTGTAATACCTGTAATTTACTGTAATACCTATAATTTCCTGTACATACCTGTAAATTCCTGGAATTTACTGTAATCCCTGTAATATCCTGTAATATCTGTAATACCTGTAATTTCCTGTAATATCGGTAATTTCCTGTTATACCTGTAATTTCCTGTAAAACCAGTAATTTCCTGCTGTAATTACCTGTAATTTCTTGTAATACCTGTAATTTCCTGTAAAACCAGTAATTTCCTGCTGTAATTACCTGTAATACCCGTAATTTCTTGCAATACTTGTAATTTCCTGTAATACCTGTCATTTCCTGCTGTAATTTCCTGTAATACCTGTAATTTCTTGTAATACCTGTAATTTCCTGTAATACCTGTAATTTTCTGAAATACCTGTAATTTCTTTTTGCTTTATATTTGTGACTATCAAGACAAATATGCTTTTTTAATTATGAGCTAGTGATAATTCATCCTTCCCAGAGAATTATAAGATATATTATTGAGTGTTCAAAACTGACATGGTCATCACATCCATATTCACAGTGAATTCTCACATGACAGCGCCAGATTCAAAGTCATTATTGAAAGTTTAAAGGAATAATCTTTCTTTCCCTAGGAATGGCTGATTATAACCTACATGTAAACCCTGACAAAGTTCTCCTAAACTTTCCTCTGGAACAGAACGATATTGGATCCTTTCCAGTGATACAAACAGGTAAGTCTGGGGCTTGTGGACTTTGTGTTGAAACTTTTATTAATGTAATGCTTAAATATTGATTAATAAAGAATATTGATAGCTCCAAATTGTCATGTGTCTGTTAACTTTTTCTGCAAAACGATACTAGTCATGAATGAATGGGATGTACAGGAAAGATGTTTTAAACAAAATCAGATTTTAAATTAAAATGATGAAAGAAATTAAGTATCGCTTGGAATAATTAAGTTGAGGTAACCAGAACTGCACAGATTTTAATAAAGTCATAATGTTGTCAGAGCTACAACATTGCATGTAATAGCATTCTTCAGAACTTCAGAAATTTGATACAAAGTGTTCCTTGAAAATGTGTTAAGAGATATTGATATTTTCAAATATCAGTCTAAGTTTTATCATTAACACCACATTATCTGAATGTTCATTTGACTCAATTTGAAACAGAAATTTCTAATACATTAGAATTTGTTTCAGAATGGTTTCCGTGGTGTGGGATGTTATTTAATACTTTAACTCTCCAGGCTAGTATGGACTTCTCCAGATACGCTGGCATCTGTGAGTATTTCCTGTCAATATGTAAATTTAAAGGAATATGTACATAGAACAAACTTTTTTGAAACATTAACAGGTATAATCATCAGAAATGCTTCGTTTTATTTCCGAAAGTTTCTCAAAATAATTTTGACTTCTAGTAAACACTGCATTCATGTTAAATTCTTAAAAGAACATTTAGATATTTCTGTTGTTTTTATGGATACATACACATTGAAGTACTTCCCTGTGAAGACTTTCAGCTTGTTATCATCAGATGGTTAACATTTCTGACAGGCAGCATTCCTGTATGAAGATTATGAAATTGTCACTATGTCTTGATACATATAATTATTAAAGTTCTAAATTGATCCTTCTCAAATTTCATAGAGTTTCTTGGTACCTAAAAAAATGGACTGATAATCAGCCATCTTAGTTTTTGAACCTGAATATTTGGATTTTAATTTGATAGGTTCCACAAGCTAGTTAAGGTGTTCATTGTCAATTTAGAATTATTACCTGTATTTTAAGAGGTAGTCTTAAATTCCATATAATTAAGAGAAATAACAATAAAGACAGGAAAAGTTCCAGATTCTACATTTAAAAAAGCAAATGAAGATCATACAATGATCCTGTTGGATCTCTTGTTCAAACTGAAAGTACATGAAGATGACATGTGTCAAGTCATTGCAATAAATGAAGTGATTTTTTTTTCTGTTCAATAAAGCTGTTGCTGATACTATGAGCTTTGACCTTTCTGAGGATCTGTTGATGACCTTGAAACAGAAGCTCTTGCAGTATGTATCCTACTGAATTGTATATTGATTATGAAATAGAAGAAATCAGGCCATCTTGATGTGAGACAATATTTTATTTGATTGTGTAGAAGTTTTTATGCTTCCTGAAAATTGTTAAGGGAGGATATAGTTGCTGATTTGTCAATCATTCAGTCCATCAGTAAGATGAGTTTGAAAAGTCAAACAGGAAGGGTCTACACATAAAAAAAGTACTTTGGAAAGATCACAAACCAACCAATTATCGTATTGATAAATAATTGATGTATATGTGTCACTAAACACTACTTAATCTTTGTCTCTAATGGCAATTAAAGCTTGGAAATATACGCATCATTCTGTGAATTGTTAATATATCCAGATAGTTAAATGATTGATTAGGTAGTGCTTTGAACCCATTCAGATACCTTGTTAATCAGATACATGGTATACATTTCTGTGTGTGAAGTACATTTTGTGTGTAATATACATATTTTTTAGGGGTTTCTTACCCATTCAGATACTGTGCATGGCTCTACTATATTGAACTGTGGGGTACTCATATTTTGTGTTTACCCATTCAGATACTGTAAATGTACATATTTTGGGGGTACTCTTACCCATTCAGATACTGTAAATGTACATATTTTGGGGGTACTCTTACCCATTCAGATACTGTAAATGTACATATTTTGGGGGTACTCTTACCCATTCAGATACTGTAAATATACATATTTTTGGGGTACTCTTACCCATTCAGATACTGTAAATGTACATATTTTGGGGGTATTCTTACCCATTCAGATACTGTATTCTTACCCATTCAGATACTGTAAATATACATATTTTTGGGGTATTCTTACCCATTCAGATACTGTAAATATACATATTTTGGGGGTACTCTTACCCATTCAGATACTGTAAATATACATATTTTTGGGGTATTCTTACCCATTCAGATACTGTCTGTAATATACTGTAAATATACATATTTTTGGGGTCTTACCCATTCAGATACTGTAAATATACATATTTTTGTATTCTTACCCATTCAGATACTGTAAATATACATATTTTGGGGGTACTCTTACCCATTCAGATACTGTAAATATACATATTTTTGGGGTATTCTTACCCATTCAGATACTGTATTCTTACCCATTCAGATACTGTAAATGTACATATTTTGGGGGTACTCTTACCCATTCAGATACTGTAAATGTACATATTTTGGGGGTACTCTTACCCATTCAGATACTGTAAATATACATATTTTTAGGGTATTCTTACCCATTCAGATACTGTAAATATACATATTACCCATTCAGATACTGTAAATGTACATATTTTGGGGGTATTCTTACATTTGGGGGTACTCTTACCCATTCAGATACTGTATTCTTACCCATTCAGATACTGTAAATATACATATTTTTAGGGTATTCTTACCCATTCAGATACTGTAAATATACATATTTTTAGGGTATTCTTACCCATTCAGATACTGTAAATGTACATATTTTGGGGGTACTCTTACCCATTCAGATACTGTAAATATACATATTTTGGGGGTACTCTTACCCATTCAGATACTGTAAATGTACATATTTTGGGGGTACTCTTACCCATTCAGATACTGTAAATATACATATTTTTGGGGTATTCTTACCCATTCAGATACTGTAAATATACATATTTTTGGGGTATTCTTACCCATTCAGATACTGTAATGTCTTACCCATTCAGATGCTGTAAATGTACATATTTTGGGGGAACTCTTACCCATTCAGATACTGTAAATATACATATTTTTGGGGGTACTCTTACCCATTCAGATACTGTATTCTTACCCATTCAGATACTGTAAATATACATATTTTTGGGGTATTCTTACCCATTCAGATACTGTAAATATACATATTTTTGGGGTATTCTTACCCATTCAGATACTGTAAATATACATATTTTTAGGGTATTCTTACCCATTCAGATACTGTATTCTTACCCATTCAGATACTGTAAATGTACATATTTTGGGGGTACTCTTACCCATTCAGTATTCTTACCCATACTGTAAATATACATATTTTTGGGGTACTCTTACCCATTCAGATACTGTAAATATACATATTTTGGGGGTACTCTTACCCATTCAGATACTGTAAATATACATATTTTTGGGGTATTCTTACCCATTCAGATACTGTAAATATACATATTTTTGGGGTATTCTTACCCATTCAGATACTGTAAATATACATATTTTTGGGGTATTCTTACCCATTCAGATACTGTAAATATACATATTTTTGGGGTATTCTTACCCATTCAGATACTGTAAATATACATATTTTTGGGGTATTCTTACCCATTCAGATACTGTATTCTTACCCATTCAGATACTGTAAATATACATATTTTTGGGGTATTCTTACCCATTCAGATACTGTAAATATACATATTTTTAGGGTATTCTTACCCATTCAGATACTGTAAATATACATATTTTTAGGGTATTCTTACCCATTCAGATACTGTAAATATACATATTTTTGGGGTATTCTTACCCATTCAGATACTGTAAATATACATATTTTGGGGGTATTCTTACCCATTCAGATACTGTAAATATACATATTTTTGGGGTATTCTTACCCATTCAGATACTGTATTCTTACCCATTCAGATACTGTAAATATACATATTTTTGGGGTACTCTTACCCATTCAGATACTGTAAATATACATATTTTTGGGGTATTCTTACCCATTCAGATACTGTAAATATACATATTTTTGGGGGTACTCTTACCCATTCAGATACTGTATTCTTACCCATTCAGATACTGTAAATATACATATTTTTGGGGTATTCTTACCCATTCAGATACTGTAAATATACATATTTTTGGGGGTACTCTTACCCATTCAGATACTGTATATGTAAATATACAGATACTGTAAATATATTTTTGGGGTTCTTACCCATTCAGATACTGTAAATATACCTTCTTACCCATTCAGACTGTAAATACTGTAAATATACATTTTTGTATTCTTACCCATTCAGATACTGTAAATATACATATTTTGGGGGTACTCTTACCCATTCAGATACTGTAAATATACATATTTTTAGGGTATTCTTACCCATTCAGATACTGTAAATATACATATTTTTGGGGTGCTCTTACATCCATTCAGATACTGTAAATATACATATTTTTGGGGTGCTCTTACATCCATTCAGATACTGTAAATATACATATTTTTGGGGTATTCTTACCCATTCAGATACTGTAAATATACATATTTTTGGGGTATTCTTACCCATTCCATAAATGTAGATACTGTAAATATACATATTTACCCATTCAGATACTGTAAATGTACATACCTTACCCATTCAGATACTGTAAATATACATATTTTTGGGGTACTCTTACCCATTCAGATACTGTAAATATACATATTTTTTGGGTATTCTTACCCATTCAGATACTGTAAATATACATATATTTGGGGTAATCTTACCCATTCAGATACTGTAAATATACATATTTTTAGATTTTACCCATTCAGATTCCCCTGTGGTACATATTTAGTTGAACCATTTTACCCATTCAGATACTGTAAAAAAAAATTCTGACAGGTGGTCATCTTGGAATTGCACAATGGAAGTTTGTTATTGCTTTTTCTTTCTAAAATTTCTTATGTAAGTTTCCGTTGGTTACGAGTTGTGCTTGTTTGATTTTAGGAATTGTCAGAAAAATGAAATGGCTGACATGTGGCCATCTTGGATTTTTGCACATCACGATCACTTACACAAATTCACAAATTCAGTAGTGTAGAGCTGTTGCTTTGTGAAAACTTTGTGTCTGATGATGCATTTTACTTCATTTTTTAATTGATGCCATTGAAACTTGCATCTCAATTGTTGTTGGTACATGTTTTGATAACAGTCTTAAAACCTATAATCTTTAAGCTTCCAAAAATGTTGTTTTCTCGGAGAAGTCATGAGTTACACTAATCCTCCTATAGGATATGATATGTTTACTAGATTTTTTCTTCACACTGTACCAAGCCAACTATGACTATTTCTATTATGTAGCTGAACACAACAGAAATAGTGGTGACCAATATCTTCAAGATTTTTGTTTTGAATGCACTAAAGTTCAACAGCTACCACAGACGTCTTCCACAAAACTTCACATATAATGGAGAAGCCTTCATAGGTATGGAATATATCTCTTCAATGCAGACATTTTGCATCCATATTATTTATGTCAAATTATTCCAATGTGAAAATTTAATGCATGTCTCTTTACAATTAGAGAACTTTTAACAAAACATTTTACTATTGTAATAATACCTCTCTTGTAGTTAAGTTGGGGAGGGGCATATTCTTGAATTACTGTCTGGATATCTGGAGGTCATCTGCAAGTCTTGTCCAATTACTGCTTATCTTAGGAACCAAATTTAAAGAAACTACACAGGAATGTTTGAGACAATGTGTAGATGTTTATGTCATTTTTTGTTTGTTTTGTATTCTTTTTCGTTACCATATTGTCACCCATATATAGGTATTTCTGTAACTCATCACCATTTCCATACAAGGATATTGTCCAAGGTTGGTCTGAATCTGAAGCAATTTTTAGGAATGGTGAATCTGACATTAGTTTGACTACTAGACTGGGACTAAATTGGGAAATTATTTCAGAAAGTTTTTGTCATATTTGAAAGATGCAGGTCCATTGGGCATCTTGTTCTGAATGTTCTAGATGTCTTCACGAAGATCATCTAAATGTTTTAATTTGTTAACATATTTCCCTGATTGTTGCAGACTTGCTGATGGGTATTGGCAGCTATTTCTATTATCAGGCACATGCCTTTCTCACCAAGAAGGTAACTGTATGTTCTTACATAATCCTCACATGCTTCTTCAAATATGCCACACAGTGACTGTATATGAAGATATATTTCAGTTTCAGCAGAATGATAATTACATACTCATATATTTGTATACCTTGACATCATGTATAATGATTGGGTATCCCAAACCCTTGATAGTGACATTTTTAGCTCTCTTGTTGTGAAGGACCTGTGAGTTTATGCTTTGGCATGGTGTTCATTGTTTGTCCAGCCTCTGTCATCATGAATGACTGGACAGATTTTGACTAAATTTTGTCAGAAGCATCCCTCGGGCAGGAGGCCAAAATTTGTCTAAATATTGGTTCCTAACCCTTCAGCAGCCTGAGGGTTTGGGCCAAAGGGGGAAATTCAGCAAGTTCATTAAATTCATTCTTCTTTTGTAGGAATGATAGGATTCTCATGTTCACAATTTAGTCTGAAGCATGCTTGGGTGAAGGGAAATCAGTATTGTATAAATTGTGGGCCTCTGCCCCCTATGATAGGAGGCGTGGGACCCAATAGGGGAAATAGAGAAAATACTTTCTTCTGTAGGAATTTTTTATTTTGACAAAATTCATTCTAAAGCATCATTGGGAGAAGGGAACCTCTGTGACCTTCAGTTTAGGTCAAGGCCATTCATACATGGTAGCCCTTCATCACATCATTTCAGAGGCCCAATATCAGTACCCTGAGCCTTCTGTTTATTGAGAAAAGCCATTTGAATGGAAAGTTTACACACTGTGGACGGCACATGGTGCCTGACGACAGACAAAACACAATGGGTATAGGTCATCCTGACCCATTGGGTCAAATGACCTAAAAAGAGTAATATACTGTCAGCATATTAGATAAAAGACTTTTTTTTGAGCAAGATTATTAAGAAGCTTTGCAATTCTGACACTTTCAAATGAAAATGTCAATGACAATCAATATGGTGATCAAAGGAAGCAAACAACACATGAATTGGACATTAAATAATGTATATTTCAGCAAGTTTACACAATATAACTGTGAGGACAGGCACTGTATATTTGATGGATAATCAAAAATGGGGTAGAAGGGTTTCAGAGTTTTACCAAATATGTGAACTTCATGACCCGAGGGTATCACAATGCATGTATTCCCCTCCTCTCACGGAGTGAGGGATAGGGTGTGGGATTGAGGTTAGGATTTATAAAGCTTACAATCTAATTGTTAATGCCCTTCATCTTTTGTTAACAAAATTAGTTCTCTTGCAATATAATGTACTTTAAATATACTTTTTGACTTCATATATTGTCCTGTCAAGTTTGTTGTTTTTATGATAAACAACTGTAATACCATCATGATACAAGACCATCTTTTATACTTACAGGGTTCTATACCGGCTGTTTTCAGCATACCAAAAGATGTTGTCCTGTGGTATGTTGCTTTGTGTTTCTATGCATTAAATTCCTGATATATTTTTATTCAACTATAAGTGTCTGTCACAAATTTTAAGATCTTACTTATCATTGTTTAAGTTTTGTTTAACCTCTGCATCAAAAATATAATGTTTAACTACATTGTACTTCGTAAGCAAACTGAATATGAAATTTGTGTTCCTTGATTTGATTCTGAAATCTTTTGACACCAAACAGTATTTTGTTTTTCCAGGCTAGGTTTGCATGCCTTCCACGTCGTCCTCCAGCAGTATAAGACTGAATGGCAACATAAGAACTTCATCATGGCATTGACTCGGCAACTAAGATTCATCATGGCGAGACTTGAATACCAGGTACATGTACAGAACTAGTTGTGATTTGTGGGTAGCCCATAGGTTTTACACCTTGGGTTATCTTTCATGATTTGTTTTTGTTCCATACGAATCATTGTCTGATTCACTTTCTGGTTTGCTGAAAACAGAAGAAACATTGTATAGTTCTGTAATAAATTGGTCAATAACAGACCAATCTGGTTCATGAATTTCCATTTAATAGCTAGGGGCACGAGTTGGAAATATGGGCAAACATTTCAGCGATATACTTATTTACTGTAAATCACTTCTATATTGCGTAAGATTTATTTTCATGTTAATACAGGAGGAGAGTCAATTGAAAATTCAAATCTCTTACTATTATTTCTACTTGAATCAATCTGGATGGCATCCATGTTGTCTTGGTAACCAATATTGGAGCTTTAAAGAGTCCAATCTGCAATAGCTCATTATTTCAGAATTAAAAGTAATTTCTAGATCAATGTATTCCAGTTGGAAGAAGTGACAGATAAATGCTAATTTAGAAATAGTATTATCTTGATATGGTTTGTACACTTTTGGAATTATTTCTTAGATTTGGTTGAAATTATCAATATAAAATCAAAGTTGAATGATATGAGAACATTTTGTCCCTGGACCAGAATAATGACACCTAGTGTTGGGTTTTAGAATGGTCAAATTTTGGGAAATCACAAATTGTTTTCTTTGGACCAAGCTTTGGTGGAGTTATATTTACTTTGAACTGACACTGATGGTGGGCAGAACTTTTACAGTAATGATTGCCAATCTGTATAATTATAATTGATTAGCGACAATATCAACAAGGAGTTTCTAGCAAATATTAGGTTGATATTGATGATTTGAAGAATGTGTCACATTGAGCAAATGGATAAGGGCAAGTTGTTTCATGGAAGGAGAAATTATTGATCTGGAAAGTTAATTGTCATTGAATATTTACTTCTGTAACAGGAGGAGGGACTCTCTGCTGTCCTACTGAGGGTATGTGGTAACCAAGTGCCTGACGAACTCATGGACCTCATCCCTTGACCAGGGGAGTAACAGCAGCAGCGGAGAAACTTCGCCTATAACCATAGACTACTTAGATATTGGACTAAGATCTCTGAAAATGATTTATTTTTGTACATTGCACTCATCAGATTAATCTCAGAAAAAAGAGAGCTCTCACTAAATCTGCATCATAAAATATTGGACAATATCTCAGGTACCTAGGATAGTGACAAGTAATATTGTACTGATTCCAGAGGCTCTCCTTAAATCTGCATCATGAAATATTGGACAATATCTCAGGTACCTAGGATAGTGACAAGTAATATTGTACTGATTCCAGGGGCTCTCCTTAAATCTGCATCATAAAATATTGGACAATATCTCAGGTACCTAGGATAGTGACAAGTAATATTGTACTGATTCCAGGGGCTCTCCTTAAATCTGCATCATAAAATATTGGACAATATCTCAGGTACCTAGGATAGTGACAAGTAATATTGTACTGATTCCAGGGGCTCTCCTTAAATCTGCATCATAAAATATTGGACAATATCTCAGGTACCTAGGATAGTGACAAGTAATATTGTACTGATTCCAGGGGCTCTCCTTAAATCTGCATCATGAAACATCGGTCATGGACATCTGTGAACTGAATAAGTTATTTGTGAATTTTTAGTGTACTTTGTATTGAATGATCACTTGGCATCAGAAGTGTTCTGATACTAAACATACTGATTCCAGGGGCTCTCCTAGTTATGATAATCTGCATCATAAAATATTGGACAATATCTCAGGTACCTAGGATAGTGACAAGTAATATTGTACTGATTCCAGGGGCTCTCCTTAAATCTGCATCATGAAACATCGGTCATGGACATCTGTGAACTGAATAAGTTATTTGTGATGTATCTATCAGAAGTGAGAACAAACATGATTTGTTATGATCTACACCCTGATCTAGTGTTCTTATTCTTTGATACCTTACAACATATTCTACAGTAGATAGTACACCCTGATCTACCTAGTGAGAACATGGACACAATGTTATTACCTGGTGATACTAGTACACCCTGATCTACAATTGTACAGGTACACCCTGATCTACCTGGTGAGAACATGGACACATATTCTACATACTACAGATCTACCAGATAGGACACATTACACCCTGATCTACCTGGTGAGAACATGGACACATTATTCTACAGTAGATAGGTACACCCTGATCTACCTGGTGAGAACATGGACACATTATTCTACAGTAGATAGGTACACCCTGATCTACCTGGTGAGAACATGGACACATTATTCTACAGTAGATAGGTACACCCTGATCTACCTGGTGAGAACATGGACACATTATTCTACAGCAGATAGCTACACCCTGATCTACCTGGTGAGAACATGGACACATTATTCTACAGCAGATAGCTACACCCTGATCTACCTGGTGAGAACATGGACACATTATTCTACAGCAGATAGCTACACCCTGATCTACCTGGTGAGAACATGGACACATTATTCTACAGTAGATAGGTACACCCTGATCTACCTGGTGAGAACATGGACACATTATTCTACAGTAGATAGGTACACCCTGATCTACCTGGTGAGAACATGGACACATTATTCTACAGCAGATAGGTACACCCTGATCTACCTGGTGAGAACATGGACACATTATTCTACAGTAGATAGGTACACCCTGATCTACCTGGTGAGAACATGGACACATTATTCTACAGTAGATAGGTACACCCTGATCTACCTGGTGAGAACATGGACACATTATTCTACAGTAGATAGGTACACCCTGATCTACCTGGTGAGAACATGGACACATTATTCTACAGTAAATATGTACACCCTGATCTACCTGGTGAGAACATGGACACATTATTCTATCTACCTGGTGAGAACATGGACACATTATTCTACAGTAGATAGGTACACCCTGATCTACCTGGTGAGAACATGGACACATTATTCTACAGTAGATAGGTACACCCTGATCTACCTGGTGAGAACATGGACACATTATTCTACAGTAGATAGGTACACCCTGATCTACCTGGTGAGAACATGGACACATTATTCTACAGTAGATAGGTACACCCTGATCTACCTGGTGAGAACATGGACACATTATTCTACAGTAGATAGGTACACCCTGATCTACCTGGTGAGAACAAAGAACAAATTATTCTACAGTTGATAGGTACACCCTGATCTACCTGGTGAGAACATGGACAACATATTCTACAGTAGATAGGTACACCCTGATCTACCTGGTGAGAACATGGACACATTATTCTACAGCAGATAGGTACACCCTGATCTACCTGGTGAGAACATGGACACATTATTCTACAGTAGATAGGTACACCCTGATCTACCTGGTGAGAACATGGACACATTATTCTACAGTAGATAGGTACACCCTGATCTACCTGGTGAGAACATGGACACATTATTCTACAGCAGATAGGTACACCCTGATCTACCTGGTGAGAACATGGACACATTATTCTACAGCAGATAGCTACACCCTGATCTACCTGGTGAGAACATGGACACATTATTCTACAGTAGATAGGTACACCCTTATCTACCTAGTGAGAACATGGATACATTATTCTACAGCAGATAGGTACACCCTGATCTACCTGGTGAGAACATGGACACATTATTCTACAGTAGATAGGTACACCCTGATCTACCTAGTGAGAACATGGACACATTATTCTACAGCAGATAGCTACACCCTGATCTACCTGGTGAGAACAAAGAACAAATTATTCTACAGCAGATAGGTACACCCTGATCTACCTGGTGAGAACATGGACACATTATTCTACAGCAGATAGGTACACCCTGATCTACCTGGTGAGAACATGGACACATTATTCTACACAGTATATATGTACACCATGATCTACCTCGTGAGATCATGGACACATTATTCTACAGCAGATAGGTACACCCTGATCTACCCTGGTGAGATAGGTAGAACATGGACACATTATTCTACAGCAGATAGCTACACCCTGATCTACCTGGTGAGAACATGGACACATTATTCTACAGTAGATAGGTACACCCTGATCTACCTAGTGAGAACATGGACACATTATTCTACAGCAGATAGGTACACCCTGATCTACCTGGTGAGAACATGGACACATTATTCTACAGTAGATAGGTACACCCTGATCTACCTGGTGAGAACATGGACACATTATTCTACAGTAGATAGGTACACCCTGATCTACCTGGTGAGAACATGGACACATTATTCTACAGTAGATAGGTACACCCTGATCTACCTGGTGAGAACATGGACACATTATTCTACAGCAGATAGCTACACCCTGATCTACCTGGTGAGAACAAAGAACAAATTATTCTACAGCAGATAGGTACACCCTTATCTACCTAGTGAGAACATGGACACATTATTCTACAATAGATAGGTACACCCTGATCTCCCAGCCACGAAAACAAGATGGCGCCCTTAGTAACCCCAATCCAAAAGGCCCCAAGTAACATATTGTCATCATTGGAGTGTGTGACATCATTGTTTTTGTTTCTGTATCTAAGATGGTGGTGTGTTTTGACTGATGACGTCATTGATGTATTTGGTTATGGTCAAGTACATATTTCGACTGACGGGTTGGTTTTGATGATGTAACATAAAAAAATAATTATGAAAACATAAATTTTACAGTGTTTTTAATATGAAATAGGCACTGCCTAAAAGCGGGTGCAAAATTGGTCAACAAGATGCATATTTTGAACTGCCTGATCCCTGTCTGCACTGAAGCGTGTTTTTAAAATTTGTTTTATATTTCACAAGACTTCAAGAAAATATTGGCACATACATGTTCCGATGTATCATCATCATCATCATCATCATCATCATCATCATCATCTTCTTCTTCTTTTTCTCCTTTTCTCCTTCTAGAAAACAATGCATCATCATAATCAGACAGTTGTTTGGTGGCACAGTTGAAACACACTTGTCTTTCACCTAGCTATCCGGGGTTCGACAGTTAAACCCCTCGTATACTTACAAGTGTGATTTTTATGAGTTGAAATTATAAAGTTTCCATATGTAAGTAAGTCATGCACTTACAAACATACAACATGAAGACAGACAATGACGAACAAAACAAAAGACGACGAGATCATGCAAAGTGTGACATAATCCCAGCACCCTGCTGTTTAAAAGAAAGACACATGATCCTATATATATGTTAATATTGCAAGTTTTATTTCTATTTGTTATCTTTAATTGTTCCACAAAAATTATTAAAATTGAGAACTTCTACTAGAGTACTAGCTTGAGGCCTGTACAAAGTTTTGAGTACTGAGTAATTATGTAGAACTTTGTGATTTGGCCTATCTGTTTCCATGGTAACAGAAAAAGTATTTAAACGGTGAACTTCCCCATCGCAAAAGATACTACTAGCGTAATAAGTGTGAAATGTTTTGAGCAATTATCCTGAATAGTTTCAAAGCATTGGGCCAGAAAAACTGAAATTTATGATGAGTGCTATCTGCTTCCATGGTCTTTGACAACATATCTAGACTATAAAAAATTGATAAAGAATCTTCAAAAATGTACAAGAGTTTCCCTTTTAGAGTTAGAGAGATTGCAGAGAGGACTATCTATCATATTTGCTTTAAAAAAGAAATATTTTCGTAGTCAAAATATGGTGAAAGACAATACAGTTTTCGACGGGTATTTAAAGGCGATGCATATGTATTTACCCAGTTTTCATTATTAAACCAGAATCTTCTCACCCACTGTTTTCTTTTCTCTTTGCTATTGAGAGTTTTCGTTCTGTTAATTAGCAAATCATAAAATGCTTTAGAACCTTTAAGTTTAAGTTTTTTAAGCAATGTTAGTTTGTCCTGGTAGAAAAAAAAAGGGTAAAGTTGTAAACACTGCTGAAACTATTCTGTTATACATTTTAATTCAGTAAAATCAATGTAAATATACAAATTTAGATTAATTAGTCATTAAAAAAATACTTATTTAAGTCACCAATATTGCGTAAACTGCCCGGCTTTTTCTGCGAAAAAAAACAGCTCACCACTAATAGTTATCTTATCATTGTGTCTTATAAGTGTTTGCTGGAAAATTTGTAAACATTCAAATACTTGATCATAATTAATTTCAAACAGTATCGAAAGAACAGGTCTTACTCCCAATCGGGACCTTTCATCTGCCTTCCAGAAAGAGGCAATGTATTTTTCGTATGTGGAAAGTGACGAAAGTTCCCTCAGGTTAAACCTGTTGTATTATGGTATATATTGAATTAAAATACTGTATCAATTACAGTTAATTAGCGTTGTTGTGTTTGATTACCATTTTTCTCCAAAAGTTTTATAATGAAATTTATAAACATTTATAAGTGGCCATTCATTTCCACATCATTTCTGATAGGACGGATGGAGAGCGGGGGATAAAAAAAGGCCTGCTGTCGATGTGTGACAAGTCAATTGCCCTCGAGCATACGGACGGATGGAGAGCGGGGGATAAAAAAGGCCTGCTGTCGATGTGTGACAAGTCAATTGCCCTCGAGCATACGGACGGATGGAGAGCGGGGGATAAAAAAGGCCTGCTGTCGATGTGTGACAAGTCAACTGCCCTCGAGCGTATATAACAGTTAGTACCTATGTCTAGAACACGGGAGCCAAGCGATACATGGGCCATTTTGGGATGGCATAGACAAACATCTCAAATATGAACTGTGCACAGATGATGGCAATATTGTGAGAAAATAATTACTATGCGTTCACCTTGCGATATAAATATAACTTCAGCTTATTTTCGGTCCTTGATTAGACAAATCCTCTTCACCTGACTTAAAAAAAACATATATTACATAGCACATATTAGATGTACAGTGTTGTCAACTAGTAAAATACAATTGTTTTGTTATAAAATAATAAAATGAGTTATACAGTTCAATATTGGAGCTCAACTCTGTAATTGTAAACCAGGTCTTGATTTTCCCAAAATTTGTCCAATTTATTTTTAAAACAATGTCCATGGTATATGATGAATTGTCAATTTAGAAGATTTTACTGTAGTACTGTGTATCTCCATGCATATCCATACAGGTATATGTACAAACGTATGTGCACATTACTATCAACGTGGGGTATGAAATAAATTTCGGATGGATGAGAGGATGTTCTGTGTAACTTTGCACAGTAGTCAGTACAACAATTGTCATGACGGCCATTACCTAAGGATCACTTCATCCGATAGTTATTGACACGGAACTAGCTATACAAATGAGTTATAGAAATAAGGATATTGACTGAGAAACAATTAAAAATCAAACGAGGCAAACAGACAAAAGCATTAGCAGCGACTTTTACGTAAGCACGTCCGTACACTTTTCCCTGAAATTTGAATAGCTCTAATATCTATTAGTGTATGATATGGACGTCTCGTTCTACCCCATTAAAATGTGGTCATTTCTGTTGTAATCTTAAAATTACATCAATGAAAAAAGGTGCAACATTTTGGTTATTTTCTAACCAACAATTTTTTTTATTGATAGAGATTGATTTTGACATTCGTTCGGATAAAAATGAGGAAACAAGAGCTTAAACTTTTAGCATCGGTATGTTTTGTCTATTTACTTTTTGTATTTATGTTTTAAATGTAATTACTGAGACATTTAAAAGTTTGGACGCAATATAACTCGCTAACGTACATAACCTTGCACGGATACATATCACAATGTAAACTGAATGTTATGAATGTACTCTTTGATTTTGAGACATATCGTACAAGCGCAGAGATGACCATGTTTACTCTCTTTTACAACACTACGCAAAGCATGGAAGGCACAGGGCCATCTAAAAGTTCGGAGCATGAGAAATACCGGTCCCCGCTGGTGTCCAGATATGCTAGTCCAGAAATGGCTAGCAATTTCGGTGAACTGAAGAAATTCTCCACCTGGAGGCTGTTGTGGACTTACCTTGCAGAAGCCGAAAAAGTCAGAGTTGTACTATCAAGAAATGGGTGGGGGTGAAGTTGTGTACGCCGTTCCCAGTCCCGGTCCATCCCCCATCCCGATACCCTTACCAAGAAAGTAAGAAATATTAAATATCTCGTGAACAAAGAACCTAATCGATTTAATATTTTACATAAATCCACTCACGTATTAAAAAAAAATCTGACACTTTGAAGGAAATAATTCAGATATCGAGATTTTTTTTAAATCGACGATTTGTTTTTTGTTTTCTACAGAAGTTGGAAACTTGTACGCCGCACTCAAATTGCAAATTACAGTTACCATACGCTTTGATTTGAAATTTTGCGAAATTTCAAACAATATTTATACCTATCTGATTGTAAATACACTAGTGTCACTCATAAAATATGCATAATTCACATCTGAACATGCATTTACTATGATCGCGGGTCGTTTGTTGACGCTCAATCCCCGGACCCTGCCCCATGCTAGGGGGAGGTCACTCCCTCTGTCTGATGCATGTTTGTTATACTTCATGTGAAAAATGTGTAGAACCTTCAGCTATTCTTAGTACAAGAAAAAAAAAATGTTTTGAGGGCCTTGTGATGAGGACGCAGTTCTACATGAAAGTCCGTTTTTTATCATTATTATAAACATTTATTACATATGTTTGGTTATTCTATCTAATAACAATAGCTATTTTAAATAATATATGTATCATCAGTAAGAGTAGGAGCTACCTGTACTGGAGAAGCTAATTAATGTTGTGCTGGGTGTAGAACACACTACCGCTGATCCACCTAACTTAGTTAACTTTGTGTCTGGTGCTGGAATAATATTCTTGTCTATCTTTGGTCTTTTTCTGCCTGATGGCTCAAGTTTTCTCTTACCCACTGTATAATCTTTCTCTGTACTTAACTTTGTAGCAATAATATGACATGTACCTATGATGGACACTGACATGTCTCCTTCGGATGTTACTCAACTGGACATGTCTCCTTCGGATGTAACTCAACTGCATACTTACTTCCTTGGGAACTTTCATGAACATCCTGGGAGAAGGAACATTAATTACTTTATAATCCTTTAAAACTGCTAATGTTAAAGACCTTTGTGCAGTTTGCGTACCTATCTGCTGAATACTTGGAGTCCTATCACGTGTTACCTCTTCAGTCACTTACCTCATCATTACTGTACTCATCTGAAACAACTATAGTTTTTACACTAACTTTACCCTTATACTAATTAGAATATCTAATTAAGACATGTCACATGTGATAGGTCAAATTTGGAAATAACAAAGTAAAAAAATAAAAAGATATTAAGTTTCTTATGTTAGATACATATTGTCACACTACATAACACAAGTTCGTCAAGCATTACATTATTCTATTCAAGTTCAATTCTACTGACATAATTTAGGTGTTATAACATATTCAGATAATAAGAATTGCACACTAATTTAGATGAGAACAAATGTTCTGTTTTGGCACAGACTGAAGGAGTGACTTCCCCCTAGCATGGGGCCAGGTCTGGGATGGAGCGTAAACAAACAACCCACAATTATGATAAATGCAAGAGTAAAACTAATGTATTAACAATTAAATAGGTAATCATGTTGTTTGGAATTTTTTAAAATCTAAAATCAAACCATAGGGTATCTGTAATTTGCAAAAAAGTGGAAAATTTCATGTTCAAGTATGGCATACAAGATTTCACCCCCATAAAAAAAACTAATTGCTAATATATAAAATCTCAATATTTAAATTATCTCATTCAAAGTGTCAGATATTTTATATTTAAGTAGATTAATGTAAAAAATTTGAATTTATCTATTAGAATTTTTGTTCTCAATATATTAATTTTTCTTAATTTCCTGGTACAGGTATTGGGTCCGGGGCTGGGGCCGGGAACGGTCTACACAAATTCACCCCCACCCAAAATTAGTGTTAGATTTTACATTGTCATTTCAAATATGAGCTCGGCATATACAATTTTTTTACAGCTGGAAATGATGCAAAATCATGAATATGAATTCAGTAATATAATTTTTTCCTCAATACTTCTGACTTGAGTGAATTTTCAATTTGAAAAAATAGTGTTTAAATTTTTGCAAAAGTACATATACAACTAGGTCAACATATGTTTGTACATTATTTATTAGTTCCAAGGATTCTGAATACTTTTGCATTTCACTTTTTGGTTTGCTCATAGAAAACGAAATTGCAGGTAGATTGTCAGAAACCTGCGGAATAATCATGTGTGTCATCAGTGATAACCATATCATTCTAAATTTAGAAAAGTAACTGCATTGACCTACCTGATGAGACTTAAGTTCCTTTCTACACACTGTTCACTTATACTAATAATCTTACCCTATCTCCTTCTTTCAGCAAAGGTCAGACAAATAATGTGATAATCTTACCCTATCTCCTTCTTTCAGCAAAGGTCAGACAAATAATGTGATAATATATAGCAAAGGTCAGACAAATAATGTGATAATCTTACCCTATCTCCTTCTTTCAGCAAAGGTCAGACAAATAATGTGATAATCTTACCCTATCTCCTTCTTTCAGCAAAGGTCAGACAAATAATGTGATAATCTTACCCTATCTCCTTCTTTCAGCAAAGGTCAGACAAATAATGTCAATATATAGAATCACATTTCTTATTCTAGAAATGCAAAATTTCTCATCTGTTTGCCATTGCTGTATGTAATTGTTGGGAAAGAACAAGGAAAAACTTGTCACCTTTAATTTGCTAATTAAGCCTCAGATACCTTAGGCTTCAGGTTGAGAATTATCGACCCAAAACAAAATTTTGTGAGTATACAATGCACTTTATCAGTCCCAGTGAGTACACTTATAGCTACTGAAAGCATTCCAGTCAGCCTAGAATAATCATGATTGCTTCATCTGGCTGTCAGATCAGTTTGTTTTTTATTTATTGATATCCAATATATTGTACAAAATTTTACTTACCCTGATCAATGTTTTACCCACCTTATTGCACACAGTATTGACAAATGAAATGCTGAAGTTTCAGCAATCAAATTTTTACATTAAGGATGACCCCCATAGGATACAAGCTACCAATCAAAACATGAAACAAATATCCTGTTGCTATGTATAATGAAATGAGACCTATTTAAATTTTTCAATAATAGCCATATTCACGGTTTACTTTGTTACAGAAAGTAGGATTGGAAAATGTAACCATTACAGAGGAACAAATCGCTGCCATGAAAGCACATGTGGGTGATATTGACTTTGAGCGTGCTGCACTTGAAGAGAAGCGTGTACGACACGATGTCATGGCACATGTTCACACATTTGCTGCATGCTGTCCTATAGCAGCCCCAGGATACAAGCTACCAATCAAAACATGAAACAAATATCCTGTTGCTATGTATAATGAAATGAGACCTATTTAAATTTTTCAATAATAGCCATATTCACGGTTTACTTTGTTACAGAAAGTAGGATTGGAAAATGTAACCATTACAGAGGAACAAATCGCTGCCATGAAAGCACATGTGGGTGATATTGACTTTGAGCGTGCTGCACTTGAAGAGAAGCGTGTACGACACGATGTCATGGCACATGTTCACACATTTGCTGCGTGCTGTCCTATAGCAGCCCCAATTATACATCTGGGGGCCACTTCTGCCTATGTTGGAGATAACACGGTAAATATGACTTAATTAACACAATACAAACAACTTGATCACCAAAGCCCGGGTGTGAAATATAAAAATACACTGTAAAATCACCCCACACCACATTCCTATTTATTGATGTGTATGTTGTAGGTCAAATATTAAAAGTACATGTAATTCTTTTTCACAAATTTATTTCGTTTGTGTAAAAATCAGAACTCTTGGAAAATATCAATTTTTATCCTGAAATGTTTGAAGAACTCTCTTTGAGCAAATAAATGAGAAAAAAAATAGTAGCAACTCTTTAAGCTAGCTTTTTCTCCCAATATATTGCAATAAATTGTGTTATCATGGTCACCTAATTAAATCTAATTAGAATTATCAATTTCGTCATTTTAATTCTGTCTATCTTTAATAAAAGAAAATGTCTTTGTTCTCCAGGATCTCATAGTGATGAGGGATGGCTTTAATATCCTGTTACCAAAGGTATGCAACATTCATTTTCCAAAATAACTATCTGAAATCTGTGTGTCTGAAATGTCATTTTATTTTGCATTCAAAAAATTTCTTAAATCTTCTACATATGGAATAGTGGGTTGGTCGTAATACTGAAGCGACCCATACAAAGATATATAGTGAAAAAAAACGAAACTGAAAAAAAGTGCCCGTAATAGAGGGGTGGTCGTAATTTTGAGGTGGTCGTTAGGTGAGGTTTCACTGTATATGCATGCATGAACTTATCTATATCATTTTCTCCCCTTAAAAAAACTCTTTTATTTCTGATGCAGTTGGCAAGATGTATCCAGAGATTGGCAATCTTTGCTGAAGAATACAAAAATTTGCCTTGTTTGGCCTATACACATTTACAGTAAGTACAGAACAAAGACCGTGTACTTTTTATTTATTACTTGCATTTTGAAAATGTAAGAAATCAACAAAGCATACAATTGAAATGCACCCTAAAAACCAATCCTTGGATAAAGAATTTCTAATAGTGGGATAGATAGGTTTAAACTAAAAAACAGTGTTCTGTCTGATCTAGAGCCCAGTAGCATGGTCATAGCCCTTCTGCCATGTAGTGTGCCTTATTATTAAGATTTTTTTTAGACCAGCTCAGTTGACCACTGTGGGAAAAAGAGCATGTGTATGGATACAAGACCTTCTCATGGATATACGAAACTTGGAAACAGCTCGGAACAATCTCAGGTTCCGAGGCGTAAAGGGAACCACAGGAACTCAGGCTAGCTTTCTAGCACTGTTCCAGGGAAACCATGAAAAGGTTGAAATTTTAAAATACTAAGATAAAAAATTTAGTTTCAGTTCAATTCATATGTTTAAAGTTTGAATGTAGATATATGATAAGAAATAACAGGAATTAGTATTGCAAGTTGTATTCCCGTTTTGACAATTTAATTAATTTTTTTTTTTCGCAAATACTTACTGAATTTCAACAGTCTGCTTGTTAACATAGATAGTAAAGTATTTACTTAACTAAGAAGTTTGAATTCACTGATTTCAAAAATGTGAGATTTTGAAAATTATTTTTTTATAGGTGGAAGAACTGGATAGACTCGTTACAGAGATGGCAGGATTTAAAACGTAAGAACATTTTTGTGGTGCAGATTTACAGTTACTATGATAACCTTTATTTATCTTGATGTTCCTGATGCCAGGCAGTTCCATCTTCAGGTGGATCCTCTATCCTTGGTTGTTTCGTGGCTGTCCACTACAACCTCCAGAGGAGTGTCGACCAGGGTGACCAAATCCTAGCCTGAAACTTTCTTGCCTGTTCCACCATGTACCACTGCTGATGTTCTCACAGTTCTCTTGTGATTGATGTTGATATCACTTAACAAATGCCACATACCTCACTCCTAATCACAAAGACCATATTGGTGTGATTCTGAAGAGTCACACAACACCACTTTGATGCTCACATTTCTGTTTTTTCTTCCATAACCACATTGATGCTGACTCAACTTTTTTTTCATTTATATTTTTTGCAACCAACTCTGATTCATTTCCATTGTTACAATTTTAATGCCATTGTGTAAAGTCACTAAACATCATTAATCCAGGACATCTTGTCATGTTGAAATCATGCTCAAGTTAAAATGAATCCAATCATGGGGTGTAATGGGCCTCTTGTATGTTGTTCAGTGAGGTAGCCACTTGTTATCATAAGGGTACCCCACCTGAAAATGACACTGTTTATGGTGATAAAACTAGCAAACAAGCTTAAATAAAAAATGTTTTCCCAACAGGAATTTCCTGATATGTGGTCAGACATACAGTCGGAAGGTGGACGTGGACTGTCTCAATACCTTAGCTAGTTTGGGGGCTTCAGTACACAAGGTTTGTGTTAATCTTAAGCACTATAGGATCATGACAAAGCAAAATGACACCAGTTGTATTCAAAAGGCACTTGGGGTTTGAAACAGGAATTTGACATTGTTTCATTTAGTATGACTTTGTGCTATAAACACATATTCTAAAATGCATGCCCATAACTTGTTTATATTAAGCTAAATGTAATCTTTGTTGAAAGGAATACGGGAAAATATGATTCTGGAAATCTTCAAAAACTGGCTTTCATCATTATATTGTTCAATCTTACATGTGAAATTAATTCAAGTCTAAATGTCTGCAAGTTTGCAAAAGTGAAAAAGTTCAACTGATTTTCTCTTTGCTAAATATATTTGCAGGTTTGTTAAAGAAAAATTATATTAATTTGTTTTGTCTGTGGTTTTATGGCTATCTATAAACCACTGCCTTCTGTTTGAAGTCTGTAAGAAAGGAAAAGTTATTATCATGATTGATAATTGATAATTTATTTCTACAACATTCTTAATATTGATAATTCAATATCATTTCAGATTTGTACAGATATTCGATTGTTAGCAAGCTTTAAGGAACTGGAAGAGCCTTTCGAAAAAGATCAAATTGGTGAGTGTACATAACATGTAACATTCTTGAATCCCAAAACTACAAATACATTTTTCATCAATATTTCGGAAAAGATTTGTACCTTTCTTTAAAGATCAGCTCTTCAAAAACAATTAAACCTTCCTTTAGAGATCAGATTTTCACAAATTGTTAAACCTGTCTTAGCGACCAGTCCTCATAAACAATAAAACTCTCTCTTTAGAGACCTGCCAATCACAAAATATAAGTTCTATCTTTAAAAGACAAGCCCTCCCAAATAACAAATTTGTCTTCTATATAAATTGTCTTTCTACTTTAGATTTTCTTTTGTCTTGAATCATTTTCACCCATTGCAATAGGTTCAAGTGCCATGCCCTATAAACGTAACCCTATGAGGAGTGAGCGTTGTTGTGCGTTGGCACGTCACCTTATGTGTTTGGTCCAGGATCCACTAATGACGGCTTCTGTCCAATGGATGGAACGCACACTCGATGACAGTGCTAACAGGTCTGTAGTGTTCAAAATAGATTGTAATGTTCATACATTAAGGACAAAATATAGAGAGCTTGGTCTGTAGATTAAGGGACTAAAGCAGCCACAAGGTTATTGCTTGATTCTATATAAGGTTTGTGTTCCCCAGTAAGGTGAGATTACATTACTTTCCTCCACTGTAGTCAATTAATTTGATTTTGTCAGGTCAACTTAATATTGGTGATATCATGACCTGCTCAATTGTTGGAAATCCTAGAATCGTATACACAATGTATTTACATTAAAATTTGATAACTATGTAATATTATTGATTGTAAGACCTTTTTCTTTGATGACCCTTTGGATATCCGATCACCCTTGATTTTGAAGGGCTGTACCAACAAATATTTGTACTATTCCAGTGTCTGTTATTAAGTCCACTCTCTGATTTTGAGATACAGGTAAAGGAAGTTCTGTAACACAATTGAATATCACCTTTCATTACAGATTTAGAATTAGATGTAATAGAGCCAAATGATGAACTTAATTCATTATACAAATGTGTCATCCTACTAGGACTGGTCAGTAGTGCCTGCAGTGTTGAAACCTTGTAACAGTGAAAACCTTTTGTCTATAACATGGGTATTGGAAAGAGGTATTTTGTTATTAGTTATCTACAATATGTATGACTGCTGTTCAACGTGGGTTTTCTCTTGGTACTATGCTTTCCTCCCACAGTAAGACCCTTTCCATGCTACCATCTTGGCCAACAAGAGTGATTGTTATAAGTTGGAAAAAACTTGTTTCACAATTGTTGTAAAATGAATAAAGTTTAATTTTGTATGTGCTATATAATTTGTGCATATTGATACTAAGGACAGTAGATACAGTGTAATAGTTCCTGACAGTATTACTATTTTGTCTTATTGTTTTTATCTGAGAATGTGCCAGGAAAGGATCAGGTCTTGTATTGATATCAAATAATACAAGTAGGGAAGGACTTATAATTATGCAAACATAATGATGTATATTAAAGCTGATGTTTTATTTTATAGGAGAGTGTGTTTGGCGGAAGCCTTCCTGACGGCAGACATTGTTCTCAGTACCTTACAGAACATCTCTGAAGGCATTGTAGTCTACCGAAAGGTATGGGTATCTTAGGGCATCAAGGTTTCCTACTACCATTGTATTGAAAGAGTGGGTATGATATTGTTACACATGACTGTCCAATCCCTTGGCGTCACTCATCATCGAATCTCATCACATTCGGAATCAGTGCCATCACAATAACAACACAGTTCCTAAAAGACGAATGGCTAAACTTTATACAAGAGTCAACTTTTACTATACCTTAGAGAAGTTCATTCTTGAAGGTTCCAAGGTCAAAGTCATTTCTATTTATAGAAAATTGTCAAGTTTTTATGAAGTTTGATAGTTACATGCATGGAAGGGAGTTCACTCATGTCTTTGCAGCAGGTATTCTATTTTTATTGGATTTTTTCAATGATAAAGCCATGGATATGGATATACCTTGAAAATGAAATAGATAAAAGAATCATTGGCCCATTTAGTTTCTCCTGTGAAAAAATACATTCAGTTTTCATCAAGCTTTTGGTAAAACGATGAAAATTTACAAAAATGTTTGCTATTGATGTAAGTTGGCACTCAAAATTTATATCAAATCAAATTATTAGGGAAGTGATTTTTTTTATATATTGTAAGGCATACAATAGGAGTTAAACTTGAATGAATATCTTCACCAACAGTAAAGATCTGGAATTCTAGTCAAACTATCACTCAGTCATGGCATGTGATTGTTTAAACCAACTCTCAAAACATGACATCTGGTTTATTGAACCAGCTCTGAGAACATGACATCTGGTTGATTGAACCAGCTCTGAGAACATGACATCTGGTTGATGAACCAGCTCTGAGAACATGACATCTGGTTGATTGAACCAGCTCTGAGAACATGACATCTGGTTGATTGAACCAGCTCTGAGAACATGACATCTGGTTGATGAACCAGCTCTGAGAACATGACATCTGGTTGATTGAACCAGCTCTGAGAACATGACGTCTGGTTGATTGAACCAGCTCTGAGAACATGACGTCTGGTTGATTGAACCAGCTCTGAGAACATGACTGGTTGATTGAACCAGCTCTTGAGAACATGACATCTGGTTGATTGAACCAGCTCTGAGAACATGACATCTGGTTGATGGAATCAACTCTGAGAACATGACATCTGGTTGATTGAACCAGCTCTGAGAACATGACATCTGGTTGATGGAATCAACTCTGAGAACATGACATCTGGTTGATTGAACCAGCTCTGAGAACATGACATCTGGTTGATAAAGTCTGCTAAGAAGTAAATAAGTAATATATGTCAGTAATCTGAGGGCTGACTTGTTCATGCAAACAAACCGATTCATCAACACTATAAATGTAATATCTTGGACATAAATTAATACAGACCTGTAATTAGTAATATAGGCCTAGGTTTAGCTGAGGGCTGTCTGAAAACACAGAAAAATTCATTTTGTAGGTGCATCATCATTACAACAATTACAGGTCTGTTGAATTACAAGCTAGGCCCAACTAGTCATTAACTGATAATTAACATCAACACTCAACTCTCCAAATTGATTGGTAGAATCTGGTAACATAAAAAATGAAAACAATGAAAATTGATATTTTATGCATTTATCGGTATAATTTACCCTTCCATGAAATATAAAAGTAATCTCCCTATATAGGTGATTGAAAAGCGTGTTCAACAGGAATTACCCTTCATGGCGACAGAGGATATTATCATTGCTATGGTGAATGCTGGGGGCAACAGACAGGTATGTGGTTGGTTATGAAAACAGGTAATTAGATGCAATAATGACAATCCAATTCAAGTTTGTAGTCTAAAAGATGGTCCATAGTTAGCAAAAGATGCTTCACAACATCAGTTTTCACAACATCAGGTTTCATAACATCAGGTTCCACAACATCAGGTTTCACATCATCAGGTTCCACAACATCAGGTTTCACAACATCAGGTTCCACAACATCAGGTTTCACAACATCAGGTTTCATAACATCAGACATCAGGTTTCACAACATCAGGTTCCACAACATCAGGTTTCACAACATCAGGTTTCATTACATCAGACATCAGGTTTCATAACATCAGGTTTCACAACATCAGGTTCCACAACATCATGTTCCACAACATCAGATTTCACAACATCAGGTTCCACAACATCAGGTTCCACAACATCAGGATTCGCAACATCAACATCAGGTTCCATAACATCAGATTCCACAACATCAAGTTCCGCAACATCAGGTTTCACAACATCAGGTTCCAAAACATCAGGTTCCACAACATCAGGATTCGCAACATCAACATCAGGTTCCACAACATCAGGTTCCACAACATCAGGTTTCACAACATCAGGTTCCATAACATCAGATTCCACAACATCAGGTTCCGCAACATCATTTCATTATTTGAATATTAAGTGATTTCAGAAGATTTTAGAATTGCTGCATAGTATTGTGATAGAACGTTTGGAAAGGTCAGCTGTGACAATATGACAATATGATAATGAATGAGAGTGTGTTTCAGAGTTTCAAAGACTGGTCATTATTTTTATTTATAGAAGATAATTACTCCATTCCATGACATCGTTTCACTGACTCAATGTCTTTTGGGATTTCAATCGGTGTAAAGTTTATCAAAAAAAAATATTTGATAAGTAAAATATCAATGTTTGTAAAACTTCAGAAATTTGCTTCATTGAAAAAGAAACTGCATATTCTGTTCTTTTGATGATTTCATATTTGTGGCTACGAGGTCAAAACCTCAGTATATATATAGAAATTGATCAACCCACTCAGTAATAGCACTCTGATGATGAAATCCAAAGAGCACATTGTAATGGACAATACTTTCCAGATAGGGCAGCTGTTACCTAACATGAGGAGATGTGGCTATTTTTAGCATCTTGTTCTGATTTAAGATTCCAAACTTGTAGTAATGTATGAGTTTACGTGTTTAGGAGTGCCATGAGCAGATTCGTGTCCTGTCCCAGGAAGCTGGACTAGTTGTTAAGCAGGAGGGCAGGGAGAATGACCTTGTAGCCAGATTAAAGAAATCAGCATACTTTGAACCTATTCACCATTGTCTCGATGAATTACTGGAGCCGGAAAAATTTATTGGCCGTGCACCTAGACAGGTATCTATTAATTCATACTACATCTGTGACAGCAATAGGCCCAGAGGGCCTGTATGTCTCACTTGGATATTCAAGTCAATAATGCAAAACTTTACATTTCTTTAAAAGGAAAATATTTCCCATGATGAGCCTCAGCCCACAAATACAGCTTCACATTCCCTAGCTATTCAGGGCCCCGTCACTCTGGCCAACACCCACAGTTTATACAAAACTAATTTCACTTCACCCAAGCATGCTTCAGACAAAATACAAATGATATTCTATAATTTCTGAAGAAGATAGCTTTTACAGAAATTGATAGAGTTTCTCTGTCGGGCCCTGCCCCTTTAGCCCAAGGGGGCAGAGACCCACCATTTATACAAAACTGATTTTCCTTAACCCAAACATGCTTCAGACCAAATTTGCTATTCATAAAGATTTTTAAGAAATTGATAGATTTTCCCTATCAGGCCCTGTCTGTTTAGGGGTAGGAGGAATAAGACCACTATTTACCCAAAATTTGTCTTTCCCCAAGGATGCTTCAGGCAAAATACAATTCGAATACACTCAGTCGTCCATCAATAGTTGCAATATATGAAAATAGTTGATAGACCACAGAAGCTGTGGTATCCTTATAGCTCACCTGGCTCTTTGGGCTAGGTGAGCTAAAAATCTATTGATCAATATGTCTTGTATTTTGTGTATGTTTTTCCATTGGATAACAGGTAATATTTTTATCACATGCATAACCTGCTCACAAAGAAAAAAAAATTAATGTGAAAATATTGAAAAATATTCACAAATTCCAGTCCAAATTTTTTGAAGAATTTCATGTAGGTCTCCTTAAGTTTTCTTAGGAAAAGTTAGCTTGTCCTCAGAATGTTTTCTAAACTCAGTTTGGAAATAAAACTATGAAATTTAAAAAAAAAAAAAATCAACGTTTCTTTTAAGCAATTTGTACAGAATAAAATAACGATATTTTCCAGCAAACATCAGGTCTTCATTTCAAGTTACTGTCAAACATTAACTTTCACAGGAGATACATTTTCACTTAATTTGTGGGTACTTAAAATCAAAGAATTCACAAATCTACCAAACGATAAATGGATAAAATTTGAAACGGATTATGGCAGTGGTAGATTTTGTGACCAAGATTTATCTATGATATCAAGTGCCAATTAAAATGAATGTTTTTTTGGAAAACCACACTAAGAGAAAATATTTCAAAGGAAGTTTTCAAATGAAAAATGAGAAAATGAATTATGATAGCATTAACATAAGAGTCTGTTTAACCATCTGCTTGATCCATCATTATTGACAGGTGACCAAGTTTATCGAGGAGGAAGTCAAAGTTGGTATCAAAACCTACACGGACAAGATGGATGTTAAATCTGAACTTGACCTCTAAGAAAATCTCGACAAAGACGTGTCAGAAGGGTTTAGAATTCCAAACTGATGTTAGATCTGAAAAGTCTGCAAGTTTGTATGAAAGTGAAAGATTGAAAGGTTTCCAATGTTTGGTCATGAATTACGATTTACAAGATCTTATGGGAATGCAAGGATGTACATACTTCAGCATTACATGTCATATCCTCTCATAATCATTGGTGGATTGGATATTTCTCTTTTACATATTCAAGAAATCCATAATGATTACAATTTAAATAAATTATGATGGTGCAGATTACAATTCATGCTTGGCTAGTTTTATTTTTGTTGTAGGGGTGGGGGCTGGGTTGGGAAGGTGACAGGGTGCCAGTAAATAGAGTTGCTGATCGCCTATCCTGTCCAAATTTGTCCCTTATTCACTTCTCAGTTAACATGACTTTGATCAAAGTTTATAAATTAGGTCACATATTAGGTCACTTTCACATAAGCAGTTGAAATAATTGAAATGGATAAAAAAATGGATGGCAGATTTTCCTGCATGAATAACTGCATGACTCAAAAATACACTCATTTCCACCAAAAATATTACTATCCCTTGCTATAAATGTTGGGAACAGGATGTTGGATTGTTGCAGTACATTTGTATGAACAAAAGTAACACTTATTCTTGTCAGCTCTCTGGGAACTTTAGTGTTCAAGGGATTTAAATCAAACTTAGCACACTCACAAATGACCATTATGCCCTGTTGGGGTTTGAATTTCAGGATTGTAGGTTCCAGTTCAAGATTACTAATACTAGTTTTAGAAAATCTTTGTCAATCCTCGAGCAACTTCACTTTGAAAGGGATTTTTATCAAACATCACACATCTATATAGAACCATAACATCTCCAACAGGTTTGAACTTCCATGTTCCAGCAGAATGTTAACTCTTTCACATTTTCGACATCTCATTAAAAGGCAGATAAAAAATTCAAAATTTATAGGTCTGGCCTCTCAGGGAATCAAACATTTTCTTTTCAACAACTAGAAATGTCAGAACTAAAATTCACAGTTGTAAAACCATTCATGAGTGCTACCAAAATTGTGAAATTCAGAGCTGTCCAGCACACATTTAGCTGCCTCTGGTGAAAGGAATGAAGTTATATATGAAAAGTATATTTATAACAAATATGAAATATTAAATCATTTTAAACTAGAAATGTCAGAACTAAAATACTTTTACAGTTGTAAAGCCTCTAAGAGGCTTTAGCAAAATTACATAATTCAGAGCTGTCCTTCATCTAGGTGTCACTTGGGGGAGGGGTGAAGATAAAAATATACTCTACCTTATTTAGGAAAGCATAGCTTTGATATATTTTGCTTAACTAGTCAGAACTAAAATTCTGCTGCAGTTGTTTTCATATGAGACTTCATTTTTTGCAGATCTTTAATTTCACTTTTAGATTGAATTCCAAAATTGGAAATGAAGGACATGACAGACTCTTCAGTATCAACGGTTTCATTAAATCAGTCTTGTATGATAAGCATGATGATTTCAATTTCTCTGTTGTGAACTTTCATTTTCTCGATAGTAACATTACTGATTCACAACCTGTAAATTGATATATTACAGTTGATTCAATATTCTATTACATTGTGAATACCATGATAAATATTGATGGCAGATGGATAAACTTTAAATATCAATATTTCAGATTATTTTCTTTAGGTTGGTAATGTCAGTAGAAATTAAAGTTCTTGTAACACAACCAAGAGAAGACTAGAGTGAGACGTTTCAATGACTACACAGTCACCTTCATCAGACAAATGGCCAGTGTGGAGCGTACTAGTACTGACATACACAGTGTACAAGATGGTACGGAATGAACCAACTTTTTTGGCTGTACTGTAATCTTAAGTACACTAAGATTGCAAATAGTGTGATGAGATGGTAAACAGATTATAGGAATATGTACACCAGATAGTAACAATGTACTGTAGTCAATTTGGGTTTGCCTTGTTTATCACTTGGTCATAGATGTCATATCATTGACTAGGAAAATTCCAAAGTAAGCCAACAGGGAAAACAAACCTTTTCAGGCGGTTGATTAAGGAAGTCACCTGGATATGCCGCAGTGGGACAGTACTAAACAGAGACGAGAGGGGGCACAGACTCTCGTACTAAACAGGGACGAGAGTGGGGCACAGACTCTCCCACATCTATGACCAATTGACAGAAAATTGGAAACAGGTAAGCTATTTCAAAAACTTGATATCTAATGATGGTGGGTATGAATTAAAACCACTAACCTCCTCAGGATTTTATTTCTTTTTATTCTCCATATTAATTCAAAACCAATATACATGTTAAAAATATATACATCATATTTTTAAAATTTGTGAAATGTTCCGCTGAGTGTAACACCACTACTGTAAATGATAAATTTTCATGGAGGATTTATTTTCATCAAATGCATGGGTACTCTTAATCTTAATCTATATGTCCACTACCCATTAAACAGGTTTAAGTAGATTTAATGAGCTATATTGATTGATGAAATCAAGTGTCAAAGCTGAGCTCCAAGAAACTGTATGATTTAACAGTATTATATAAATGTTAACTATTACAGTGCAGCTTTACATCTATAGAGTCATATCCCCAAATAAGGTATAAATCAAAATTGAATAAAAATAGCTGGACAATAATAATTAATAAACCATTACAACAGAGTGTTTTTACTGTGATACATGGTGTACAAGCAACAAGGGAGATAACTTAAAACGTTCATGAAATTGTAGTTCCCACATAATTCTCCTTTAAGTCATACCACATTTATTTCAAAGCAAACAAAAATCAACAAGTTAATATTTATTAATAACATAATTTCCTATTTTACTGAAAACAAATATTCTCCAAACATACCATATACATGTACAATTTTTGTCCAATTTCAAGGAGAAATTCAAGGTTTCGGAAAACTGATGAAATATGGAAACAGGTTTTCAACATTGAAATTTTCATTCATTCAATGCTATATGAATAAAAATAATCCTCGATATTAGCAGTTTTCATACACATCACTACAATTTTTGTATCAAGAAAGTGGGCAAGGAACTACACACAACATTTTTTCTTTTCTATAAAATTCCTGCTTTTCACCCTAGCTAACCCCCTCTCATACTAGGGACATACCAGTATATACATTCCTGCTTTACACCACACCTCACCACCTCTCATACTAGGGATGTGTATACACCCTTGCTCACCCAATCAAACATGACATCCCTGCATTAACCCCAGATATTATTTTGTTTAATACTGGAATGCTGAAGTATATGGTAGATGAAAATTTCATGATAAAAGTAAAACAATAAAATAATTTTAAGTGAATTTAAAGTAGTACATTTTACTTAAATTCCTAATTATAAAGAAATTAACATAACAATACACTAATAGATAAAACTGGGTGTTATATGGTGTATACCAAGTAATATATACTGTATGTCTTTTGTAGACATTCAAATAAATACACAATACAAGTCTTTGAATACTTACAAATAACAATTGGTAGAAAGCTTCACTCCAAAGGACAGGAGCCATAATTAAACAAGAGGCCCAAGGGGCCTTAAGGGTCACCTGAGGAATATATGTCAATAATCTGGGGATTTTAAAATGGTGTAAAACATCTGTACCAAGTTTGAACATGACCCACCCAATGGTTCTTGAGAGGAAGTCCATAATGGCTTAGCCAAACAGCGGCCAGGGGGGGCCATCTTGGATTTTGAATCGCCCCAAAAAGTTGAAACACTTGCCAGGACCTTGTGTAGAACATTTGTATCAAGTTTCCCCTTTTCCCCCTTCCTGGGGCCCCTATTGAGGCCATGCTCTTTTTCTTTGCAAACTTGAAGCGGCTTCCCATGGGGATGCTTTGTGCCAAGTTTGGTCAAAATTCATCCAATAGTTCTTGAAGAGAAGTCATTTAATGAAGGTTTTTACATATGGCCCCTTTTACACCCCTTATGGGCCCCAAAGGGGACACAATAACTTTTTCAGACATAATTTCATATGTCCTTCTCTAAGGGATGCTTTTTACCAAATTTGGTGGAAATCGGTCAAAGTTGAATTTTTTACCCTTTTGAGCGCCCCCTAGTAGGGCCGTTTTTGACCCGATTTTTTTTCCATTCACAAACTTTGTAGACCTTGCTATAAGGATCCTAAATATCAAATATGAATTTAATCTTACTGTTGGTTCATGAGAAGAAGATTCTTAAAGATTTACTTAATTTTACCCCCCTTTTCCCTCTCCTGCGGCCCCTATTGAGGCCATACCCTTTTTCTTCGCAAACTTGAAGCAGCTTCCCATGGGAATGCTTTGTGCCAAGTTTGGTCAAAATCCATTCAGTGGTTCTTGAGAAGAAGTCGAATGTGTGAAAAGTTAACGACGCACGACGCATGACGACAGTTAAATCATGATGGCAATAGGTCACCATGAGCCTTCGGCTCAGGTGACCTAAAAAAGATGAAAAAAACACTGTTGTCTGATTGGTAGAAAGCTTCACTCCAAAGGACAGGAGCCATAATTAAAAAAAGATGCAAAAAACACTTGTCTGATCATTAGAAAGCTTCACTCCAAAGGACAGGAGCCATAATTAAACAAGAGATCCCAGTAGGATCTTGGCGCCCACCATTTGAGGATCTGTTTTCAGTTCTTGTCGACATCCAAGATGGCTGCCTGTGGACCACCTTGATTTCAAATCAGTCCAAAAAAGGTACAATGCACAACTAGGGACCAAGGGAAACCAATACCTATGAAATATCAGAAGGATCCATCCAGTACTTCCTCAGAAATAGCGGTAACAAGATTTTACTCTTAAAATCAAAGATGGCTGCCTGTCAGCCATCTTGATTTCAGATCAGTCCAAAAAAAGGTACAATGCACAATTAGGGACCAAGGGGAACCTGCATATGAAATTTGACAAAGATCCATCAAGTATTTCCCCAGAAATTGTGATAACAAACTTTTACTTTCAAAATCCAAGATGGTCGTCTGTGGGCCATCTTGATTTTGGATCAGTCCAAAAAAGGTAAAATGCACAACTAGGGACCAAGGGGAAATTGCATATGAAATTTGAGAAAGATCCATCCAGTACTTTTCCAGAAATAGCGGTAACAAGAATTGTTTACGGACGGACCACGGACGCAGGGCGATTTGAATAGCCCACCATCTGATGATGGTGGGCTAAAAAAGATGCAAAAAACACTGTTGTCTGATTGGTAGAAAGCTTCACTCCAAAGGACAGTACCCCAAAGGACAGTAGT